CGTGAAATAAATTCCATATCCAACTACAAAATATTGAATTTCCTCTATTTCTCTAATTTTGTTTTGCAAAATATTGCGAAAAAAGTGTCATAGGTTATAATTTTCCTTATAAAGATCATTGGTTATTGACATTTTAGTGATATTACTCTCTTTTTTAGTGTACTTATAAGAAATGGGTTAAAATAGATTTCATTGGTGTTTTGTACTACCTTAAGGTCCTCTTTATTAACTATATATTTAACTATATACATTTTTTAAACAGAAAGAAATTCATGGTAAGTATTATTAAACGTTTTACTCCAACATATGTGTTAATAAAACTTTTGAAAATAAACAATACCAGACTGCTGATTTGAAAGTGAAGAAACAAATGAAAAGTGAAATATCACGCTTGTAAAAATATGTTTTCTCTATATTGTATATTTTAATGTTTGATCAAATTTTAATTTCTTCTTATTGCTAAGGAAGTTAATTTACTTTATTCGGATTTCATTTTAGAATATTTTAGAGAAAAATTTTCTTTTAAAAAATAAATGTCTTTGTACACTGTGCATACATGTGTATATGGAGAATTCTGCAGATAAGTGTAAGTGCAAAGGTCTTAGATGAGCAATATTGTCCGTTTTATAGTTCCAAGTTTAAGTAGCTGAAAAAATACAAAAGCCAAGTGAACAATACTACATGACTTTTACGAAAATGTTGTGAACGATAAAACATCTTATCATGTAAGTTGTCTGAAGGATTTCGGCGAAAGCAATTTCCCAAGTGTTTAAAATGTATCTGCCAAGGAAGAAAATGTGTTGTTTTCATCACATTGAACGTGAATCTTGTTTCCTGTCAGAACTGTTTACAAATTATTACTTCCTCCCAAGATGCCGATGTTGATATAGTTATCACATAATAATTCACACGTCGACATACTCTTAGCTGAATGAAAATGGATGGTATCGTTGTTACTTTAGATAGGAGTTGAAACTGACAAGCAATACTCCTCAATTTATGAATGCCATTTTCTCATCTTGCTCCATACTATTCTCCAGCCTTACTTACGTATATATTTTCGAGGCATCTATCGTATGTAAAGCCTATTTTTAATAAAACATAAATCAAGAGTTATACTTTAAAATATAGAACACATTTCACTTTAATTTTTAATATTTTTTCAGAGCTGAAATTCCACTATATTTATATATTATAAATGGTTTTTTTTTTTTACTTACTATGAATTACACATTCGGTTTCCTACTCAAAACTTTATAGCTATTAAACATTTCTACTTTCATAATATTGCAGATGAATTTTACATTTGCTACACGTTCATTATTTCTCCAGAAAGGCTGAAAAGATTATTCTTAATATCCTTACTAATAGATAGCTATAGGTGTTTCACACGTCCAGTGTTTACAGAATGATAACCTTCCCCTTCAATAACTCAAGTGTGCTTTATTGGCAGTTAATTATTCGCTGTAATCTAACTTCAAAGTACAATATGAATGGTATAAAATTTTCACCGATGAAGAAAATATCTTACTAGAATCTTCACAATGTCAAGATTTTGTATTTACATTTTGAAATACTAGTAAGAACAAAACTTCATCTTAAAGATGAATCTTATATGAGCGATAGATTTATGAAATATGGAGACTGTAATCAAGCTCAAAAGTCCAGAGCAGACACGGAACTCTAAAACATTAGTTGGGATCAGGTGCAATGAAGGATTAAGCATCCCCTGTCGACCGTTCACACCCGTCGTGTGCTCATTGTTATTATCGGACAAACGGAAAAAATCCGTAGACAATTCAATTTTAAATAATGGCCTATCAATTAGTATGAACAACGTAAACGTTAGTCAGCAATCGACTTAATGACTGATTTACAACATCTCCCAAGCTTTCCGTACAAAATCGTACAGATGATTGAAGATAAGTAACAGGGGTCATTCTTAAAAGTCAATTTTAACAATACAAATTACATGTAGGAGCAGAACCATCACGGACCTCTGAAAACAGAGGTGGGGTCAAGTGCATTCTGTTTTCTACTCATGATTGCACAAGTGTCGAACAACAAGTATCCCGATGGACAGACTGTCCACCAGCAGAGGTTAAAATGAATATACAAATAACGAACAGGGATCATTCTCAAGAGTCCATTTAAACTATACAAATCAGGTGAAGAGCCAACACGAACCTCTGGTCACAGAGGTGGGATCAGGTGCATTCTCACGGCCAGGAACACGTAAAGTTCCTAGACAGTACCGTTGTCAGAAACCTTTAAAGTTAAGCACTAAAACTGGTTCGTTGTCATGAACATACAGGTGAGGTTATGATATAATCCGTCCGGTGTCATGCAAAAGATACACGAATTTATACATAATGCATAAAATTTAACGTTTTTGACAAATTCTAAGAATAAATTTGAATTTTAGGAAACAGATACAACATTCAGTATTCCATACAAAGATTTATGTATTTGATATCCTTAACACATTTTGAGGAGTTTTGGTTGGCGATCTCATGCCCATGTGTGAAGGCGTGATCGTGAGCTGGAAAATTATATATTTCTTATATTTAATTCATCGAAATGGTTCTTTTATTTTAAAATATGAAGAGAAACTTCATTTTAAATGTGTTAGGCAAGTGACAGCCTTTTGTAGCTAACATGTTTTAAGAAATCGCAATTTATAAGCAAAAAGTCCGTTGTCAATACATGTTAAGTTTATCTGGTCCGGTGTCATTTTTCTTAACATGTAAGTAATTAAATCAATAAAATTCATCAGAAATGATCAAATATGTGTTTAATTTAAAAGAATACAAAGCATATTACAGATAATTTTGAATTTAGGGGTCGTCTTAAAGCAGGTCACAAGAACGTGCTAACTGTTCTGCGATGTTTTTATGTTCAATTTATTTTCTCTTAGGAACCTGCATCCTAGCTAGTATGCGCCGGTGCTAGATCCGCCTTTGGTTATTGAGCAGATTTTTAAAGAGTTTCTGTATACCGTATATCCCAACGTAAAACTTTTATCACCAATTGTGGCCTCACACTACCCATGGGGGTCCTGATTTGAACAAAATTGAATTTGTTTTTGTTTGTTTGTTGTTTTAATATCCCTCTAGAAAATTTTTCACTCATAAGGAGACATCGCCACTTGCCGGTGGAGGGCCAAACAAAAATTTAGACCTATTCTCGGAACTCAGGGCATTGAGAAGTGTGGGATCTTTTTTGTGCCAGAATCTACAAAATTAAAAGTACACTGTGTTCTTTCACATAAGTATCATTTCTTCTGATCCAGAAGTTCTTGAGAAGAAAATTTTGAAAGAGTTATTCTTAAATATTCTATTTAAACTTTGATCACCTGTTGTAGCCCAACCCTTCCTCAGACATGATCTGAATAAAAATGAATCTAGTACACTTTATAATAAAGCTTTCACGTAAGTTTCAACTTTTCTGACACAATGATACTTGAGAAGCTTATTTAAAGATGTCACTAAATTTTTACTAATTCTTAACTATACTTCCTTGAAAGAGGGCATGACCATTAATTTGAACAAACTTGACTCCCTTTATCCACGTTTGCTTTCTGGCAAGTTTGGTTGAAATTGAAATTGGCCTGTAGTTCCTGAGAAGAAGCTGTAAATGTGAAAAGTTTACCGACAGTCAGACGGACGACACAAAAATGTGATCAGAAAAGCTCACTAGAGCTATCAGCTCAGGTGAGCTAAAAATGTCAACCCCTACACCAATTATATCGGCACTCGTATGAGAATTAAGCAAAAAAAAAAATGAATTACAGATAACATTACTACTGAACAAATAACTTTCAATCTCATATCTATGTATATATAATGAGGAAAAAAAATAGACCGATTTTTCAGATATCTCAAGAACTACTGTTTTTGACATATCATAGTCATATAAACCAATGCTGGACACAATTTTCTGAGCAACACCATTTCACCCTACAATACTGCGAGTAATGCTAAATAAATACAACTCGTTTACTTATTTATCAGCCAAACACTTCGTCTATCCTTCTGTCTGTCTAACTGTCTGTCTCTCTCTCTCTTCTCTGTGTATGTGTGTCCATCTCTCTCTCTCTCTCTTCACGACCTTAGTAAATATTCAAAACAATATATCGGCGACAAAATGTGCAAATGTTCACAGTACATATTGTCGCCGACGAAAAAACGAGCCCATGCTTGACTGTACTTTTTGTCTTCCATTACGCAGGAGGACAAAAAGGCTCGTCTCGGTACAAATTCTCGCAGGCGACAATATGTACCGATGGACGACGATATGTACTGTCACACCCCTCTTTTTGACGGCATGCTTAACAATACCTAAAACAACATAAGATCGTCCTTCGTAGTGTATAAAGTACAGTAGCGACAACGGACCGATGACAACGGACTGAATTTTCGTATCTTGTCATGACAACGGACAAAAAATGAAATAAATCAAAATTTTCAGTTTTAATTTGTTCTCATTTTTCTGTAAAGGCTTACAACATGTCTTGATACTGTCTGCACCAATTGGTGTGTATATTATACATTCTATTTACAAAAAATATAACATCTCAGTAGGAAAATGAATCAAATCCACAAGTGATTTCAACAGGGTTAATGTCGCCAACGCAAACTCTTCTTTTATTACTTCTTTTTAACGGCTGAAATTCATACAACGCCAAATAGGGTGTCAGCCCTGTTTCCCATTGCAATTTCAGACATTGTTATAGATAATTTAACTTGAAAAATGAAAAACATCTCACAGCCTGTCTTCTCAAATCATGACACCGGACTGATTTTATCATGACCTCACCTGTATGTTCATGACAACGAACCAGTTTCAGTGCTTAACTTTAAAGGTTTCTGACAACGGTACTGTCTAGGAACTTAACGTGTTCCTGGTCGTGATTCTGTGTGCTACTCATGATTGAATAAGTATCGAACGACTTGTTTGGAAGCTAATTGCCATTTTTAATTTGTTTTTACTAATTGTAGATCACAAAACGATTTCAATCTACCATGGTGGAATAGAAAGAGAACCCGCCTTGAAATAATCCTTATTTTCATATGTCTTATTTGCATTGCTGTTACGACCATACTAATTGTAATAGAAACAACAAGAGGTAAACGATGTGTTTTAAATTTGTTTCTTCTTCGATTTTAAATTAAGTGAAATTTGAATATACAGTGTAAGTGAATAAATTCATATTTTTGTTTATAGAGAGCGATAAAATAAATCAACGAAAAGGAAAAGAGTCTGAACACGGAATATGTTTGACTGAAGAATGTGTCAAAGCATGTAAGCATAATAACTTTTTTCCTTGTAAGCATAAACTCCTGCTGACGGCTTAAGAATTGATTAACACATCTTTCTCTCTTTTTTTAATTTAATCTTTCTCATTTTATACTGTATTAAGGTTGTAAAACATACACGATAGCGGATTTTACTTTAAGAATAATTTTATTACCTTAGAATATTAGATTCCTACTGGAAATTACAAGGTAAAAAAAAAAGTTTCAAGGTTGTTCAAATCATTACATTCCTTTCATGAGATTAATTAAGAGCAAAATGATTATCTTTTGTATGTTTTTCAGAATGAAATAAAATTCCATTGATCCATGTCTCCCGAAGAAAATAAAATGTTCAGATCCTTCATAATATTAACAGAATTTGGATTGATAGTTCTTGAATTCAAAACACGAAATTTTTTTTTTTTTTTTAAACCCCTTCAAAAGATAGCATGTACTTTTACTATACTTGAAATTTCAAGGAAAATAGTCCAGCATGAGTTTTTTTCGTACGTTTTAACGATTACAAATTTATTAGTCAACTTTTTATATGATGTAGATTTTGCTAAATGATGTATACCTGTGATCTATAGGAATAGACATATGTTTTTAACAGATTTTTTCCATATTTCAAACCAAATTTGTTTCAGCTGCTCGACTTTTGAAGGGAATGGATCAGACTGTAGATCCATGTGACGATTTCTTTGAGTATGCTTGTGGATCCTGGAATAAGATAAATGTTATACCTGAGGACAGATCAGGGTACAATACATTTGCCAAATTACGTGATGACTTGCAAGTTATTCTAAAAGGTAAATCTTCAAAGATACTGGGTTTTTTGGTATTTTTCTAATTAAAAAATTGAATAGATTTCCTACAGTATTATTATCCCCTCTCAACAAAGTTAGAGATGGTATAGTAACACGCTTATGAGTATGTGGGTGAGTGGATGAGTTAGTGACTGTGTAACAAAAGTGAAAATTTACTTCGAGGTCGATGTGCTCTTTTGCGAGGGGATCTGCCGCATTGCGATTCCCTTGATGAAGTATTGCTGTTTTATAAAATAGTTTTCCTTTGAAAGATAGAAAAGCAAAATTGTAATGAAGGTGTTAACTCTCTCAATATATCATACAATGGAATCATTATATGCAAATACTGGTAGAAAGAACAAAACATTAATTTGCAGACTAGTAAGTTATTTCCTAACTTAGTGTCTTCAGAGTTAAAGAATTGCGTCAAAACGCTCTTTGTCGAGTCTGTCCAATTACCGTATCGATGAGTATACCATGTGGATGTCAGCCATTGCATTATTTTGGATTTGTTTGCAACATTGGCCATGATAATATGATGCTCATTGAAGTTTTAAATGGTTGTTACATAATGACACGCCCTTTCTTCAGAAAGGTGAAAGCGGTTTATGTTTTTATTTGTTTCAACTCAAACGAACATTAATTATTTATGAAATAAATAAAAACATGTATGTAGGTACAGAAGCTCTCTCACAAGAGCATCTTCATCTTCTTTGAAACTCTTTTATAGCTACAAAGACAAATAAATTTATATAAGCAATAACAGAAGATGGAATATGTTAAGGACAAGTTGACAGGGAAACGCCAGTATGCATTGAGAGAGAGAGAGAGAGGGTACCCGAATGTCGTAAATTCTCTCACTTGCTTCATTTGAATATTTGTAGAAGAGGCATTCACGAATTCTATAAATACAATATCCAATCAGATTGGCAGTCTAATAAATACGTGATCGATCCATACACGTGTTGTAATAACTTCAAGAAACATGATAAATACATACTTATGTACATATTCCTTGCAATACAGAAGCGAAGGTATCTCAGTCTCTCTCGCGTTGCTAGTCGCAGAGAGTGAGGTGTCTTAAAACATCGCGAATATCGCATTCTCGTTTCTAAAGAATTGTCATTTTGTAATAATGAGAAATTAAAGACCAGAACGTTCAATTCAAACGAAAAATTATACCACTTCAGTGCGCATCATTGTAATAGAAAATAATTTTTTTTTCTTTGACGGTTATATTCTTCTCTTTCTTTTGTATTCCTGATATAGAAAATAAAAACAAGCAATAAAATAAAACAAACTGAAGCAAATCGAAATAAAACAAACAAGCATAGTAAAAACAGAAAAAAAGGATATTACTAAAAGACTCTTCGAGTTTTTATGTTCAATTTACGGTAAAATAGTGGCCATGATTAGAGAAATGCAACAAAATGTCTTTTAAAACACCAAGTAAAAAGCATGATAGTTTATTATTTCTCTCACAATAATCATTTATTAATTTAATTGTAGCGAGAAAAACACTTAATTAATTCGAAGAACCTCTTGTATAATACAAGCGTTTTCATTGATATCAGTAATCAAAATTGTTAAATAATATCAACGAGTAAATGATGAACAGGATCTCTTGGAAATATTTTTTTTAAATAGAATTGATATTTTGAGGAATAAGGATTTCTTTCCTGTAACATACAATACTGCTTTTTTTATTCTAAGGCTTCACTTTTAATCTTGAGAATGTTCATTGAACCCACGACTTAAAACGCATGCTCCTGATTACTACATTAATTTTATCTCAAGAGGTGACGCAAGAAATTCTATTTGGGATATTTTATCTCGATTGCTTGAATTCATTGATAGATACTTTAAGGATTTTTGGATGCATGGCATTGTATTAATGCCTAAACTATGTCTTATTTTATAGTCACCCGCATCTGTTTTGTACGCAATTTTAAATTCTTGTTAAAACCTACTCAAAATATTTAAGATTGCCGTCGCCAATATTGATAAATGACTTTCCTATATTCACTATCATATATTCAAGGTTACATATGTTTGCCAACATGATTTGTTCTGTATGTTTGATTAAATGGATATTATCAAATACCAGGTATCTGTATGATTGAATGACAATTCACTTTACAGGAAGTGTAGCATGGCTGCATTTAAACATAAGAAGAATGCGTTTAAGGACAACTCTCTCCTCTCAAAAAATTGTCAATAAATTTGAATTATTATTATTATTATTTTATTTTATTGTTGTTGCTATTATCACTATTATTATTTTTTGCATATATCAACCTTTTTTGTTTCCTTTTGTAATTCATTTTTCCCCTTTGTTAAAAATAGACGATGTGTTTAAGAGCAATAATAAAGAAATTCCTTATTCATTTTTTCATCACATGCACATGTATCTTTATTCTGGACACAACTACCACAATAAATACCTATTACTTTATGTGTTTACTTAAATTTAGTGTGTTTATATATGACAAAATTTGATTGTCTAACAAAAGTTTAAAACAAATAAAGATACACGTGTAGATATATTATCACGACGGTTCAGAGCCGAACTCAGGATTTGTAAGTCTCTGATTTTGCATCAATTGACGTTTGTTTATAAAGAGTAATTGTCGCTTGTTAGAAACATGCTATACTGTATAAATATGGAGGATATTGTCCTATTTCGTTGAAAGTAAGCGCATTATATTGTTATCGTATTTTTAGAAAAATTACTATTACTTATCGTGTGACAATTGAGCATATTTAGCCAGGTCATAATTGTATGCCATGATAGATGACAGCCAGTTGAGCGGAAATTCCGATTCTTTCTTGACTACAATTTTTGTTGCAAATTATTTAAAATTTTTAATTTTGAATATTTTAACTGGAACAGGCATATACCTTCTCGCCATGTTTTGATGATTTCACCTTTAGGTTTTATTTTATTTATAGATTTACTTGAACAACCAACATCAAGTAAAGAACCAGAGGCCACTCAAAAAGCCAAACATCTCTATAGGTCATGTGTCAATGAATGTAAGTGCTCACATTCATAAGTAACCTATCTATGTATCGATATATTTCTTATCATACACATTTTATTGTATGACTTCTGACGTCTAAAGGGTGTTTTTTTTTTAAATCCCCTTTCATCTTGCTAATTAACAAAATTAACACTCACACCTGGATAAATAGTTCTGCCACTGCAAATATTTATTGTTTAAACCCATCTCTGCTCAGGAACAACCCAAACGCTCTTTTTATCTTTGGGATCATCAATCAAAACGTCCGCATGGTTTATTGTTAGATTAAGAGAAAACACGTATACCGTGATAGGTGATCTTTGGCTTGAGATCCATCGAGAATGATTACTACAAGATTTCACTTATTTCTGCTCTTAGAGTTAATACCTCATGTAGATAGTATAAGTATTGCAGGAACTTTTATTGTGATAATTACAGCAGGAATCACGAGTTGCTAGATATCGTATCAACCACGCCTACTCAGATATTAAATTGACATAACAATAAATCGTATTATTCAGGAATTACCTTTAGAAGCAATAAAATACGATTCAGAGATCAGTCAAGCCTTCAATCCAAATTGGTTAAGAGCGAAAGTAAAACTAACTTTAATAGATCAATTTAAACAAAAATGGAATTCGGATGTTCAAAATTTATCAAAGACCCTAAATTATAGAATATACAAAGACGAACTAAAATTTGAAAAATATTTAGAAATTCTATCACGAAAAGAAGCCATAAATTTCTGCAAATTCCGTACTTGTAATCATTATTTGCCAATTGAAACTGGACGTTGGTTAAATGAACCAAGAGAGATTAGACTATGTAAGAAATGTCAATTAAATGAAATAGGAGATGAATTCCATTACATATTAAATTGTACGGCAATGACACGTGAAAGAAATAAATGTTTAACACAAAAACAATTACGATTCAAAAATACAATTACATTTAGAGAAATAATGAATTCAGATAAACAGTCATCTTTAAGAAAACTGTGTATATTTATTAAAAAAATTACTAAAACGTGCTCCCCAAACTAGTAAAGACCTAAACCTATAATTGTACTATTTGTCTATCCTCATACCACGCATGCCATATATGTGTTTTTATTTTTCATCATTGTAGTTTACATTTATATCTCGCTATACAATTGTAAAATTGTGAAGAGATCAATAAATTCAGTTCAGTTCAGAGATCTGTGTTGAATCAAATAAAAGCAATTCATAGCTTTTTCTAAGAGGTTGTGCCGGTATTATTAGTACCCTCCTCCTTAATACAAGCTAGATTTACACTCTTAAAGAACAGAAGTGAAGGAGAAATGCTAGAAACGTCTATTTTATAAGAGAAAGAACTGAACAAGGGCTGTAACCCTGAGATGAATTTTTCCCTCACAGTATGGTTAGTTTGACTTCAACGAAACTCCAACTTAAAAAATAGTTCGGTAGAGCATTTTTTGAGAATGGACAGGCGGCATCAGCTTGATTTTAGCTGAGTTTGTAAGCATGCATTGTTTCCTAAATAATTAGAATTAGTTTTATACTTTACAATGAACAGGAAAAATTTCATCTGGTGGATGTCAAATCTAATCAACAATAAATCTCAAAGATGCTGAGCAAATTCCTTTTATGGATTAAATTCTCAACAGATGGGATTCTTCTTGATATATATGATCTTGAGAGTTAAGTTTAATTTAAAGCAAGAAGAAAGATAAATGTTTGATACAGCAGATAATATTTTTACCGAGCAAGTCATAATAATGATTGTACGAGATTACGTAATGCTAGAATGGACAAGCAACTTATTTGATCGGAAAATGGTTAACAGATGCCCTTTTAATTTTTCTTTCTAACACAAAAACAAATAAAGTTTTTGTGAAAAAGTTAGTCAAATTTTCCCACCGAAGTTCACATGAAAAAAATCTACAGATTCAACATTTTCAAAGAAAGAAAGAGTAGAGGAAAAAAATCAAACAAGTAATTTTAAATATACTTTAAACGAAATTCAGATTAAATGGGAAATACAAGTTCAGATAATTAAACTTTGAGGTTGTTTATTTTATTGTTTGAATTGTTTTTAAGCGGATTTGGAAATTATGAATAACATTCAAAGTCGAGAAATCATACTAGAAATTTACCTGCTGGTCTTGGTTCTTTCAGTCCCGAATTTATGCTTGAACATTGAAACTTTCTGCACTTTATTCAAGTATTAACCACAAGTTTACATTTTAGCACTTTAATCTGGTATAAACATCTCTGTGGCCAAATGTAAGAGAAAATGCACAGGTTAATTTGCATATGTATCCTTGGTTTATGAATACTAATTAGGATATACTCTATTTTAATACTTTACTGTTAGGTCAACAAAAATTAAAGTTTTGAAATTAATTTAGAAAGTATCGTCATTTTCTTAAATGTTTTGATAGCAATGATTGAGGAGCGAGGACTTGGGCCGGTGAACAAGTTTCTTGAAGAACTCGGAGGATGGCCAGTCACCTTTAATACAAGTCAACAATGGGACGAATCTAAGTTCAAATTTACAGAGCTTTTAGTGAAGCTGAAACTTTACAATAACAAAATATTTGTTGATCAGTGGGTGAGCGCAGACGATAAAAACTCTGATGTTAATATTATACAGGTGAGGGGATTCTTCGGTTTTTGACCTTTGCATGTTTATATTATTTTATAAAACAAAGGTTTTTGACTCCCTCGGTTATCACTAAAATAATAAGTCGGGATTAAAACTTACTATTAATACAAATGTTTGAACATTAAGTGATTATAAATTGTGAAAGTAGATGCATGTATATTGATGACGTGTTATTTTGGTAATAGAATATTCATTTTAGTTAGACCAACCGGAACTTGGAATGCCATCACGTGATTATTACTTGCGTGGCGTCGAAGATGAGGATGTTCAAATTTATGAAAAATTTGCAATTAATGTTGCAATGATGTTTGGAGCAAATGAGACTCAAGCAAGAATAGACATGAGGGAGATGGTCGAGTTAGAGATAGAATTAGCCAATGTAAATACATGCATTATATCATTTAACATTAAATTTTAAAGTTAGAATTTGAATTAACTATAGAAATCAGTGAATACTATTTTAGATTTTGGATTTAAAATAAGATGATTTTGAAAAAGAGAGATATGTTTTATATTCGTTAATAACCAAAGTCATGGATAAATTCATAGTGAAATAAAAAAAATCAATTTCGTCGAACTAGTAATGATGAAGTAACATTACACAGACTTAGCATACCTTTTACGTTAACCTGAAAATATTAAAACATTATTGATCATGCAGCATAAGTTCAATTTGACATTATTTGATAAACATCACATTTTTCAAAATAAAGTGATAAATAATTTTATGTTATAGTATAAAATATTATTAGAAAAATGAAACAACTTTATTCACAGATAACTACACCCCAGGAACAGCGTAGAGATGGGGAAGAGCTATACAATAGAATGACAGTCAAAGAACTTCATGAAAGAATCCCTGGGGTATACTCACAGCGTATCATGTCATTCGTGTTGTGATTTGTGGTTGATATTAATAAACTCGGAAACCATGGCAATCATTTGTAATTATTTTAACATTTGTAGTTTAACTGGCTGTTGTACCTCAATCTGATATTTGAAAAAGTGAACATCACAGTTCCTGAGACGGAGGAGATAGTCGTTTATGCTCCGGAGTATCTAAGTAAAATGGTGAAAACAGTCCAGAACGCAAATAACAGGTATAACTAAAGAACCATCATCAATTGATCTGCAAATGGTATTTATTTTTCTATCCTTGTCACTTTAATGAATGTTTTTAATCTTCAATTTCTAACCAGGCTGCTGGCAAACTATATGATTTGGCGAATTATGATGAACCGAGTTACAAATTTACCACAGAAATACAGGAATGTTCGCACAGAGTATTACAAGGTATGACTATCACACCTCATAATATTTATTTCTAAGAACACCTTAAAAACAAGAAAAAGTAGTTATTTCTACATATTTTTCTAGAAAATATACGGATCGGACACAGAGAGGTCGCGATGGCGAGACTGTATCAGCTATGTAAATGACAATATGGGTAACGCTGTCGGGCGTCTGTTTGTGAAGGATCACTTCGACAAAGGAGCCAAAGAAGTGGTATGTTCACAGGCAAAGAATTTTACCTTAGGTGTTCATCAATTCTTTTTAAGTGAATCAATAGTGAAGTAGAGCTATTTTATAATTCTATATATATAACACTTGCAACAACCCCAACTGCATTTTGGTGGAATTTCCCAAAATTTAATTTAGAACTACTTATACATGTATCATTAAAAAAATTTACGTATTAAAAGTGATAGTCTTATTCACAATCGATCATATGTATTCTAATGACACCTTTCATGACCATGTACATAAATCAACAGCTGTTCAAAATAAATAAATAAAATAAAATAAAATAAAATAAACTCTTCATTGAAGGAAATATGTAATCAATGAACTAAATATCTACATGTATATATAGCATAACATTATCTTTTTATTTTTTTATTGAAGGCTTTAAATATGATTCATGACATCAGGGCTGCCTTTTATGATTTATTGGAGGAAGTGTCATGGCTTGATCAGAAAACTAGAAAAGTGGCTAAAGAAAAGGTACACTATCTTAATTTCAATGGTTTTTAATGATATTATTTGTATAACAATATATCTTAGTTGTTTTGATAACAAAATGTTGATTTCTTTAAGGCCGAAGCCATGGCAGAAAAAATAGGATACCCACCATTTATTCTCAACGATACCGCATTGGATGAAAGCTACAATGCAGTAAGTAATTAAATGACTAGTGTTGCATATTCTCAGGTCAAAGATTTTCCATCAACATTTTGACACGGAGTATGAATTTTAAAAATTTCTATTTAGTGAGTTGTTTTTGAAGAGTATTCTTGTAACAGGGAGAACTTTCACACATGTTATTCTAATTCGATTTAAAGGTTACTTTCTCCTCTGACACTTATTTCGAAAATGTGTTGGAAAATATTCGGTCGATAGCTTGGAGCAACTCTAAGAAACTGCGGGAGCCTGTTGATAAAACTAAGTATGCATCTATTTCTAAATAACAAAAAGTTTAAAATAGCTCTTTGTATGTTGACTTCTAATTACATGGCTTTTTTTCCTAACGAACTTAGATAATGAAGAATGTTAATTAATCAAAATTCTTTTTAATAGGTGGTCGACTACACCAGTAGTAGTGAATGCATTCTACAGCTCAACAAAAAATCAAATAAGTATGAAGTGGACTAAAGTGTCAATTTCAAGTCTCTTTTACATCAGCTCAGCTTTAAAAAAAAAAGAGTTAAATTTTGAATATAAACTTTGCAATTAATTATTATACTGTTGATTCATTTTTTATTCTTTGGGGGTCAATATTCATGGGCAGTCAAAAACATTACTGGTTCATGAGGACATAATTTCGTGGATTAGGCCTAGCCGATACTTTTACAAAGATATTGTTCGTGGAAAGATAAATTTGTGGGTGAGGCTGTCATTAGAACGCCACGAACATTAGCCCCCAGGAACAATGATGAATCAACGTATTTCAAATCATAGCGAATGTCTTTCTTGTAACATCTTACAGTGTTTCCTGCGGGAATTCTTCAACCTCCATTTTACAGTAAAGGTTACCCAAGGTAGATATTTCTCTAAATTTCAAATGTTATTGGTATTCTCAATGGAAACGATAAAGTTTTCAAAACATTTCTCCAAATTTGAATTCCTTCAGATCTTTAAATTATGGAGGTATTGGCATGGTAATAGGACATGAAATAACACATGGCTTTGATGATAGAGGTAAGAAGTTTCATTGCTAAAGAGAAACATGATGTAAGTTTTAACCAGGTATTAATTAAGTAATAAAAAAAGTACCGTAACTGTTATTTTTTAATATAGTAAGAAAACCTATGAATATTAATGATAATGTGTCACTTGACGTTATCTTTTGAAGGGCGGCAGTTTGACAAATTTGGGAATCTGAAACAATGGTGGGATGATGAAGTCATAGCTAAATTCAAGGAGAAGGCTCAGTGTATAATAGAGCAGTATGGCAATTATACAGTGCCTGAGGTTGGAATAAATGTACGAGAATAATGTGTATTGCACACTTGATTACTTAAGCTATGTCAATCTTTTCCTAATTTGAAATTGATAAACTAACTTGTATATTTTTGATCGTATGATATATTCTTTATGTTTGGTGTGTAAGTTTGGTGTGTAATTTTTTTGTCTTGATATTGGCAGTTGAATGGAGTTCAAACACAGGGAGAAAATATAGCAGATAATGGTGGGTTAAAAGAAGCCTATAGGGTAAGTCATATATGAGCAATATTGCATAATACTCTTCTTATTTCAACCCCATTCCATGAAGTGACATTATAATAAAAATATCTAATATATATATATATATATATATATATATATATATATATATATATATATATATATATATATATATATATATATATATATAATATATATATATATATATATGCAGTGTAATTAAGTATTTAAGATTAGAATGTAAAGATTGAGTTGGAATTTTGCTTTGTTTCATGCACTTTTTCATAGAAGTACTGTAAAAAAAATTAAGTGGAGGTATTTTAAAGAATATAGTTCAAGTTTTTACATTGTTTACTACGGCTCACATTCATGAGTTCGAATACCACTGCGGTACGTAGAGACCAGTCCTTCGGATGAGACCGTATAAACCGAGGTTGGTGCTGGCACGAAAAGGGTCCCTCACTGCTTAATGGTCCTAAGTGCCGTGTATAGGTCTAAAATTGATGGCGTCTCAATATGAGTGAAAAATTCTCGAAAGAAACGTTAAACAAACAAACAAGGAAACAAACACATTCACGTAATTTTGAAAATGTCTGGAGAAGTGTATAATTATTATGAACTGATTTGTTACGCATGTCACTATTGATCTGAGAATATTATACGTGCAGTTATATAAAAAAACGATGTTACAATTTGAGTTTAATTGATACCCTCATAGTCAATTTGTAATGGAGTAAGAGAATTTATAAATATTTTAAATATACTTTTGTTTATCCTACATATTCATCTGGTTTACGTCTCTGTTTTTATGTCCCCGTATCGAAGATTCGGGGGTATATAGTTTTTGCTCTGTCGGTCCGTCTGTCTGTCTGTCTAGCTGTCTGCTTGTCCGCAAAAAACTTTAACCTTGCCCATAACTTTTGATTGGTTGGAGCTATGTCTTTCCCATTTCACGTGTATTCCTTGTAACAAGACCTTTCTTTGAGTACCACCATATTTGACCCTTTGACCTTGACCTTGGAGTGTGACCCAGTTTTGCAAAATTTTACCAAACTTTAACCTTGGCCATAACTTTTGAACAGTTGGTGCTAGGGCTTTCATACTTCACATGTGTAATCCTTGACACAAGACCTTTCTTTGGATACCAACAAATTTGACCCTTTGACCTTGACCTAGGAGTTTGACCTACTTTTGAAAAACTTTAACCTTGGCAATTACTTTTGAACGGTTGGTGCCATAGCTTTCATATTTCACATGTGTAATTCTTGTGACAAGGCTTTCCTTTGGATACCAACAACTTTGACCTTTGACCTTGACCTAGGAGTTTGACCTACTTTTGAAAAACTTTAACCTTGGCCATAACTTTTGAACGGTTGGTGCTATGGCTTTCATACTTCACATATGTAATCCTTGTAACAAATCCTTTCTTACAACTTTGACCCTTTGACCTTGACCTTGGAATTTGACCTACTTTTGGAAACCTTTAACCTTGGCCATAACCTTTGAAAGGTTGGTACTAGGGCTTTCATACTTCACATATGTAATCCTTGTGACAAGTCCTTTCTTCAAATACCAAGAACTTTGACCCTTTGACCTTGACTTTCACAGGTGTATTCCTCGAGACAAGACCTTACTTTGGGTACCAACATATTTGATTTGCATTTGAGAATGTTTAACCTTTTCTATAAGTTGCCATACGGGGGCATCAGTGTTTCACAAACACATTTTGTTCTTTATATGAATAAGTTGATGTTTAAATTGTCTTAAAAAGGCTTATGAGAAATGGATACACAAGCAAGACCGAGAACCAGATAGACTGCCAGGGTTATCACACCTCAGCAACAAACAACTATTCTTCTTGAACTTTGCTCAGGTATTTCTGATTCAAAAACTATTTTAACTGCATATCGTGTAGGGTGTGCTATAAATATATGGTCTTGTTATACTGTACACAATGGAAAGCATTTTCATGCATGTCAATTTTATTATGATTTATCCACACAATTTATTTTCGAAGTTGTGATTTATTTAAGATACGAACTGCTGCATTTTAAGAAATTTTTCATCAGTCCGTAAAAAACAGTATGTTACGTGAAAATCTTGATAATTTAGGACAGACATAATTGAACCCTTTAGTAAATTTTACGTTCTGATTGCAAATTGTAATAGGGTAAAAAGTGATCCCTTCGTAAAATCCCGTATCACTCATTACAACCTGTATTATAATCGCCAAAAAGTAACCCCATCGTTAATGTCAATATCAAGCTTTCAAAAAACAAGTATCTTAAGACACCCAGCTGAGATTACGATGTAAACCATGACCCTCCTATATATCACTTTTTATGACTTTTATAACATACCAGGTATGGTGTGGAACAATGAGACCAAGAGCAGTAATAAACAGAATCCGAACAACCCTTCATAGTCCCGGAAAATTCAGGTATTTTTAACTATTTCTGTCATACTTAGAGTTTAAGATTGTAACTCCTCTGAATTTCTTTCAGTCCATAATCTAGGTAAGAAAACATCATTTGCTGTGTTCAAAGTAAATCGAGCTATTATTTTTCAGGGTAATTGGAACACTGCAGAGCATGCAAGAATTCGCAGAAGTTTTTAATTGCCCTCCACATTCTTATATGAATCCAGTTAAGAAATGTCGAGTATGGTGATGCTTGTTACCAAGTGTAGCTTTAGTGTACTATTATTTTGATATTGACGTTTGTTTTGGATTATTATTTGCCAGGGTACATATAATTAAAACATATAAATTTAAGATTCTTTTAAAGAGCTTGGTTAATATCTAGCGTTATGCATCGTTTCGAAAATGGAACTATATTTTTGGCATAAGTAGTATAGTTATATCAGTTTCCATTGATGACTATTCCTTTTTCGATACTACAGGAGTCCCTGTAACCAACATTTTATGGACTATTTTTAGTAAATAAAAAATATGCGATACCGTTAGAGGCAAATTAAATAGTCATGTGTCTAACAATATTACATTCATTTTTATTGACTGGAAATGGTCCGTAAAATAGATTGGTTCGCATACTCGTGTGTTCAATTAGAAAGGATATGAAGTAATGTATAACTAGATTGCATTATCTGTAAATATACATATATGGATGTTTATTTGTGGTTTCCTACCTCTTTCATCTTGCATATTTATATAATTCTGAAATGAATCTATGTGTACATAATTTAGATTTTAGATCTTAAATATGCAGATACCATAGCATTTTAACACAATCACTGTTTCAGTATTGCATTTCTCATATTTAATTTAATTCAATGTACATAAATTAAAGGTCATGTTAATTCCATCCATGTTTAGAAATCTACGGAATCAAATTGGAATTTTCATTTAATTACTATAGTCTACTTTTTCTAATAAAATTGGTTATTAATAGTGGGTTTTTTTTTTTAATTAGAATTCATTCATTCTGACATCATCCTAGGGTGTCATAAGCCAATTCTTTGTTTGTCTGGTATCTTGTTTTATTACATTTTCAGCACTGAATTTATAGAATTTATTTATTGAATAAAAGAGATATTTTGAAACTTATATTCACACTGTGAAAAAAATCAAAAATGATATTTTTTCACTGTGAAAATATCAAAAGTGCGGCAAAACTCGAGATTTTCATTCCCTTCAGGAAGAAGAATTCCCTGTTATAACATAGCGAGAGTAATTAAATCATCCTGACAATAACTAAATCTATCCAAGTTTCTCCAAATTGTTGCTAATAGCCATATTTACATTTTTCAATCCCATAATCGCTTAACCATGACGTCTCACAACCATGATTTGACAAGTTACGAAACTGTTACGAAAAGAACAGAGTCGAAAAGGAAAATTATAAACAGGAAATCCTAATCTTTTTTTAGTTAGAAATGGAATTTATTTCACTCGTGAGATTGGATTTCTTTTAAAGATTCCACTCGTGCTTAAAAAATTGCACTAAATTACAGAAAAACCCTAAGAAGTTGACTATCCTCTATATATGTGTGTCATACATAGCTCTTCTATTGATACATTACTTGATCAAAAATGAATCGAATACAGTACAAAGTAAGCATATTAAAGTTTATTAAAACAGAAAATATCACAGATCTGAAGTGAAATATATCGAAAAACTATATCAATCAATATTGCAAAAACAATTGTCGGTTTTCCTGAACAACGTATACTTAAAGGTTTAATCTTGAAATAAATGCACGAACATTAACATTATAAACTGTTTTGTTCTTCCAGCTTTGAAGGTAAAATATGATGGCAAAATATTTTAATAAGTTCACAACATAATTGCTTCTGGTGTAGTATAGTTATAATTATTACTTTTCAATCCTTGATTTTCCTTAATCATTTACTTTTATAGCGTAATTTAGCATTCTTGTTCACTCAATCCAAATATGATATGATGTTTCTATGAAGCAAATGTCATACAACTGTATACATATGTATACAATATTTGGATAGTATACAATATTTGGGTAATATAGAATTTAATAAATATAAGTTAAATGGAGAATATGTACAAAAACTATTTGCATCTGAAAGCACACTGAATTTTATAATTCCCTGTCCAAACAAATGAGAAAAGGGCAATATCGCATGTTGTTTATTTCTTCATTTTATTTTCACTTTCTCCCACCAATTATTATCTTTTCCAATGCCATAAAAGGCGCCTCAAAAGCCAGTGACACCACGAAAGCAACCATAAATGACATCACAGTATGCCCAAGGAATAAATAAATCTGAAAAAAAACCCAGTACCAATTATTATAGTTTTTTCTCTCATTGGAACTTTCTGCTGCAAACACATACAAGAGTATACTTTATTAATTTTGTTGGCTACCTTAATTTATAAATATAGAATCTCTATTATATGAACACATTACGTCTTTGAGTCCTTGTACGAATAAAAGACTTTAAATTGACAAATGCATTAATTTCATTTTTTTAACTTTTATTTTCTTACAAATATAATCCTTTTAGGTATAGGTAAATCATATGACATTAATTTTTGGAGTGAAATGCTAAAAAAATCCACACATTTTGACCTGTACACGTTATTTCAGAGTTCATGATTTTTTTTACTTTATTCTATGTAATTAGACCTTATATGAAAATCAGTACTTACAATGTCATAATTCGCGATGTAGACAAGTGACCTCTTTGAAAACACGTAAATCATCATCATTATTGGGTGCACCAGGTACACAGCGTACGACATTCTAGACAGAGGGACCAGCCCACTCCAAGATAAGATAGAATTCACGATACCTTAAAGACGACAAATCAATGCGTATAGAAAAAGAGGATTTCAGGAAACCTTAAATGAAATATTGGATCACTACAACACTTTGGGGAAAAAGAACTTACAATATTTGAATGTTTAAGTGACAAATTGAGTCTTCATTATAACGGAAAGGGTATTAGAGCTGAAAGTTTAATATCTGGATGCAATGCACAAATCTTACCACCACGTCCATAATGGCAGGCTGCAATCACCCAGGCAACACAAGCAGACCACAAAGGTCTTCCGAGAGATTCGTACACAGCACGGAAATTACGTGACCAGGTTTCACCATTTTTCTTATTTTCACTGTATGTGCAGTAAACAAGTGTAAAACCGACGGTCGCAGCTAAACACCATCCAATGAAGGTCTTCGCCTGTCAGTAAGCAAATTTCTACATGATTCGTTCTCTAGATATCATACCTAAATTTGAATTTTCTTTCGTTTTTTTCATAAATTCCCGAAGTTTCAATACACACACATTTTAACTGAATTTAATAATCTTAGTTGATGGTTTACATATGCTCGAACAAATATTGTTTAATGCCGTTATAAATTTGAGCTTTAACAAAATAAATGTTGATACCTTTGATAAGTTGGCTTTCGGTTTTTTGTAGAAAATGACACCAAGAAACAAGCCAACACAGAATGCAGCTACTCGGCACCAAGGTGTTATATAAACATTGTTCCAGAATGCTCCTCCGTCAGACTGCATTCTGTGCATAATGTAATATCTTTGACATATTGTAGATTACAAACTGAACAAAATTTGTGAAATTGTAGAATATGTTTTTTTTTATAATCATGGATGCTTAATTTTTATCATTCTTTTTTTTTAAAAAATATTTTTCTCCTTATGATTACATTCCTAAGTCATATACAATATATTGTCTTGCTAAGATATGATTGCTGTAGAAAATGAATTTTCCATTCAAGTCCCGTAACTGACATATTCACCATCAAGTCATAAAAGTTGCTAAAGAGGTAAATCTTGAGATAATCATGGATGTAATTCATTAAATTTCGTAGACAAAAGGAGATGGGCGAACAAGGCTTAAAAATGTCTATAGCTTCAAATGTATAACACTCATATTCAATTTGTGAATTTAGAATTTAGACTTAAGTTCTAACCATTGAGAGTTATGAAATTATGACAAACAAAACTTTTCTGAGGAAAATTTTTTCGGCATAAATCATTCTATAACTCTATGATTTACAAGCAAAAAAAGTGGTATTCTTGGGGTTCGAACTCAAGCAATAAAAACCCTGAGTGTCAATTTTCCCTTCAAGAATGAGACGCTAACCACTAAATGCTATACCGCTTACAACAAACATCGGCATTTAAATAATATTTGAGATATGACCCTTTACTAAATGGACTTCAAGTACTTCTCGGAAAGATACAAATGTTGTACCATAAAAGTGTATTCTAAAGGTATGGTGGATCTTTGCTCCATGTTTTTGTTAACCGAAGAATGTATATTTTTAAGCATACTGTGAGTATAATCTATCAAACAAATGGAGCAAAGAGCCACTCATAAGGAAAAATTATGTTTTAGTATGAAGAATGGATCATTTTTGCCCTCTTTTGTGTATGTATGCTATTTTATAGACATAGTAGTAAAGACTTAGTATTTCAATCTTTGTGAGATTGTTGTGATTTGTGGAGAATGTACATTAAGTATACGTTAATGTTGAATGAAATATCAAAGAAAAATTGTCATAATTGAGATTTAATTTTTCACCTAGATTTGTTTGTCGCTCAATAAGCCTTGTTTATCCATCTTCTTTAGAAAACAATTACATAGTCCCTTTTTTCGCTATTAAAGATAGTTGTGTCAAATATAAAAGATATGTAATGACCTCAGAAATCAAATTTTCGCAATAAGGTTAAAACATAAAACCGGAAATGGCAATTGTGGCACAAGATCATGTTCTATTTGAAGATTAAGTCTTACGTGAAAAAACTTCCGTTGTATTTGTGTTCCTTTATTCCAGCAGACACTATTCCGGCAGACATTAGCAGGAAAACGAAAAACGACCCCAATTTGATGTTCCTGAAATTACAAAAAAACTTTTTGAAGGATGTGATATTACAAATAATAACATTTAATTACATGTTAATATACCCCTAAATTCATTTTGTCAACGTTACCAACAAACTTTTTTTGGCGAATCTATATTTAAGTAGATGTTGAATCGTTTTTGCGACAAAAATATTTCAAAATGACGCAATTGAAAATCTTAATTTTAAGCTGGTTCATTGAATTCATTCTCAGAGATTGAACAAGAACTCACATTGTAAGGAAGAAAAGAAGAATGATGGACACCACATAAAACTGCATGTCGTTTGCCAAGAACCATGTCCAGGCCATACACTGAAAATAATGAAAAAAAAGCCAATTACATCATTCTGTTGTGATGTTCAAAATAGAAAGGATAGAAAAAGAAGAATCGATTTTAAACTCTAAATCTTAACATTGACCGAAAGCACACCTGTTTATCTGTATGCACCAAGTTGTTGACATACAGAATGTTTGTCCACCAGTTCTCTCGGCAGTATTCCGCAGAATCAATCTGCTTCGGCCACATTGGACCGTCACCCAGATATAAAGTCAGGCATGTATAGATCATCAATACTATCATGTACATGGGGGTCAACCTGAGAAAAAAATGTTATATGTTTGTATAGGCTTCTAATCCCTTGATCGATCATACAAATCTTGTTTTAACTCTGGTAACTTTTCTTTCTGAACGCTGATGCTTAGGATTCCCATCATTACACAATATGCTACAAAATTAACCACCCTTTCCCCCTTTTATTCGATGGCAGAAATCATTATAGTTATAAATCTCGGTATTTTCTGATCAGGATGTCAGAAAGTGAAGGTTGTATATGACACTCTACCTCCAAAATCTGTGGAAATAGTAGTAAAACACATAATATCCGATCTTCCCTGGCTGGGGATCTTTTTTGAGTTTTGCCATTTGTTTTAACTGGATAAATGCAAGAAGCATTCCACTGAAAGAAATAATTGAAACATGTCTTCATAACGTGATATGAAAAGTTAGAGTTGGTCACTCCTACCTCTCTGGAATAGGGTGTATCATTTAGTTGTATTCTTACGAAAACATAGTAAATTCTTCCTCTAATTTCATCATTTTATTCTTTGTGCTTTGACAGCCTCCTGAGTATCATAAGTTTCTCTGGCTATAACAGTTATGGGCACACCTGAAACTGGTCTGGATCTACGTGAAATTATTTTTTCAGTTTTTTGAAGACTCTATAATCTTTATCATATTCCTACAGCTCCTAGAAGTTCAAGAGTAAAGAATAGTAAAGTGTCAAATAAATTTCAAAATATGACCAACACTCAGCACGACCCCGGGGCCTGAATGCAGGACTCATGAGGCGTCAATTTTATAATATGGTAAAGGGTTAAATTTTCATTGTAATTATGTAAATAAACAGTTTGCCTGATTCATATCTTTTGAATAAAGAAGAGTTTTAAAGTTGTAATTGCATTTCTCAATATACCGGTATTTACAATTTATCCCGAATCATGGACTCATGCGACATGAAAAATACACAATTTTGGTGAAGGATTATTCACTCATTGTAGTCATATAATCAGCTTGCCCATTTTATATTCTTTAGAAAAGAAGATTTTCAATATATGACCACTTTAGCCCCATCCTGACCCTAACAACAAAATACTAAAGTTAACTATAGTTCATTATAGTTAACTACAGTTTACTTTAGTATCAAATCCGTTTTTTTCTTTGGTAAGTCAAAGTATCTAAGTTTTTTTTTTCTACAGTTAATCATATTTTCAGGGTTTTTATTCCAGTAAATCAACGTATTTTTACTATGAATTTCGAACTGTAATATTTCATTCTCTTTTCTTCTTGCATGCATTTTTATATATTAAAAGAAAATATAACTTGTGTATCCATATATTATTTAAGAAATGATAAGGCTCTACATCTCAAAAAACGTACTATAGAGTCAAGTTTCAAAGTAAATCAAAGTATCATGTTAAACTTTCAAAGTACGATAAAGCAAAGTATCAAATTCTTAAAGTAAGTGCTGATTAACAACAGTACAATTTTGTTATAGGGGCAGAACGATGGGTCAGGGGAATTAAATGAATTTTACAATTTTGGTGGACAGCTTAGTGTTACAGAGTAATTATTATCATGCAAATACTTTGTCCGCAGAAGTGTAATATATTTTCAATACATGACCAAATTAGCCCCACCTTGAGGTCTGAATTCCTAACCCAGTGGGGGGTGGGGGCGCATCATTTTATGACTTTGATACAGGGTAAAGTACTCATTCTACCGTGTAAAGAGTCTGCTCCATAAATTTTCATGAGCAGAGGACATTTTCAAAGAGGTAATGCAGTTTCAGTGTATGACCAATTACGTTTCATTCTAGGGCCTGAACGGTGGATCCACACACAAGGGTTTTTATTTTTAATTTTGGTAAAGGAAAAAAAAAAAAAAAAAAAAAAAAAACAACAACAACATAGGCCCTACTCATTATAATTATGTCAACAGTGTGACTGCTAGATGTTCATGACTAAAGAACATTTTTTGAGATATAATACATTTTTAAATAAAGACCAACTTAGTCCCACCATGGAGCCTGCACTCAGGGGCCATGAATTTAACCATTTTGGGAGAGAGCCCATTGCAGGAGGAAAGAGGAAGACTTTTGAAGATTGTATTAATTTTGATGGTTTTGGCCACTCGCCTCAAGCCAAGGGACGCAGAGACCATGAAAGTAACAAGTTTTGTTCCTTTTTCATCCATAGATGCTATATAACAAATTGGTTGAAACTGGTTTAGAAGTTTCAGAAAACTTGAAGCTGAAAGTATTCAAAAATATTCAAAAATTACGACTGAAGGACGACGCACGACGAAGGACAAAATCAGATAGTAAAAGAGCATGTCAGTGACTCGAGTGATCTAAAAATATTTTGAAAATTAAATATAAATTTATTTTGATATTATTTTTAAAATTAATTTCTCGACCAGGAAGTCGTCAACCCTTGAATAACATTTTTATCTTGCAAAAAGGTACCAGTAAAAGAATAAAAAAAAAAAATTATCTTGCAGAAGTAATTCTGATATTTTTCTAGTAACTGGAATTCTATCAAATAATATCTGATATACGTATCATTTGTAGATTATATCCCTACACAAAGGAAATAATTCTTCTACTGGTTGATACTTATATAAATCTGTCAGGAAATTCTTTAAGATATTCTTTATCATTTGCAGATATATGTATATAAAACCCAAACCAAACGTATTAATTGCATTGATTTTCCACTATATTGATGATACCTTATCATGTAGAATGTGTCGACGCCGTATCCTGCACCAACAACAGCTTGGAAGGAAAACCGTTGTGTCATTGGTATGGCATCCACAAAATTTACTTAAAGTAAAAGGAAATTAAAAAAAAAATTATTTAATGTCGTATAATTACTGCAATTCATCTTCAACATTTAGTACTTCGTGTATCTTGGATGGCATATGAAGATCTAGGAAAGCTATATTCTAATGATGAATTGGTACCTGTTGTCATGACACCTGGGGTCTTCACTAATCCATAGTTATATGTATGTCCAAGCATAATCCATGTGATACTGAAAAACCGGATTCCATGAAGACATGTAATGGCACCTGGTCCACTTTTCCCAGACAAAAGTTTGGGGGCATTAGTAATGACCGAGAAACTTTTTACGAAAGCCCCAAGAGTCCCTAAGATAGTATAAATTAATTATACATGTATAAAGTTAAGATAAAATACATGCACTTTTCAGTTTTCAGTTTAGTAGAAAATCTTTTATTCGAAAGAATGAAATATATAGTTAAAGATATACCATCTTTCTTCTGAGGCGCCTTATGCTCTGTTCCAGGTTTTTCTTTGGCATTAACTGTAACTGTGACGTAGTGATTTGAGTCCGTCTCTTTGCTTCTTCCGTTTGGAGCCCCAGCAGGATGAATACTGTCGCCCTCTTTATGGTGCATGTAACCAGATGGAAGTTCTATGCTTGTACTACCATTTTGTATCCCTCCGCCTCCGTTTTGGACTTTTGCATCACCATTTGTTTTCGATTCGTCAGGAACAAAAGCCGCATTCACCGACGTATAATGGTTTTCTGGTCTTTCCTTTATGACATCATAATGGTCAACCTTTTTCAGGCTAGTTTTATATGAAGCACTTTCCTTTAAAACGGTAAACTGTTGTCGAAGTTCATATAATGTTCCACAGAGTACCAAAAATCCAAATATTGACAATATCACTCTGAAAAGGTAGTCACTCAACATGATTAAACTGTACAAATGTAGAATATCAATTTCAAATTTTCTTTCAAGTGTCACTGCAGGGGCCCTTTAAGCTTTTGGATTTCTTAAAATTATTTTGACCAGCAAAGATTTTTAGGAGCTTCAAATGAACTTTGATTAGAAAAATATATAATTTCTTACACGGCAACAATTGCAGGCGTGTCTTTTCCTATAGAACGTTCCTCGGGACAGTATACCTCCGTATCGTTCACTCCCGACCCTAAGCTTCTACCCACGTATCCTGTTGCGACAAAGTATGAAATATGGCTTCTAGGAGTTTGTTTGAAAAAAGTAAAAAAAAAATACATCACAGGAAAAATGACTCAGCGTGATTGCTTTTTTTTTCTTACCGAGCCTCAAAATTCCTTCTACGTCCTCGGCTCTGCAGGAATCAGGCAGGCACAACCCTAAGGTCAACAGGGGACGGATGCCGTGAGTGTCCTGTTGTAAAACAGTTAATGGTTGATGAGTAAGTAATTAAGTCTGCAGGTAGATAATATATAGTAACTAGAGCAAAAACAACAAACCTAATTAATATTATTCAAGTTTTGTTTGTTGTTTAAATCAGTATTTATAAAAATAATCGGGTAATTCTATATGGCATATAGTGCAGATGCTGCTTATCAGTAATAAATATATACAAATATACATCCATTGCTTTATCCGAAGAAGAATCCCATCTTTATTACTCTACTATCTATGCACACTACACTACCGTTTTGTGTTTATCCTTATTTCATTATATATGAAACAAATGTATATTCGAAGTTAGAATTTGCTTCACTAACCACTCCACTTCCAAACACGCTTGGTTTCAGTGTCATTGTGGCTCGGCAATACTTTGTGTCAAAATCTCGTGGGTAGCGTGAGGAAGTTTTGTTGATGGCGCCAATTATCATGTTTTTGGGAATCCTGCCATGAATTTCTAGGCAGGATTCATATGATCCAAGCGCCGTCATGTGTCCTCTTAAGACTCCAGAGGGTAGTTTTCCAGTTGCGTCAAACACTTTAAAAAGATTCAAAGATTAAAAATATTACCGGGTATTTTTTTTTTCTCTTATTCAAAATTAGTCTTCTTATTTTTAGCTAATAAGAAAGCAACAACTAGTATTTTTTTTCTTAAGAATAATTGATGAACAGACTTAGTTATAGATTTTTTTTTTCAATGTGCCTTTTTTCGAAAAAAGATCCCAATAGTAAGTTTGTTATGTTTACAATAAAGGTGTCAGTCGTTATGTTCTTAATGTATTTCAAGATAAGATGACCCGGTTTCTATATTTTCTTGCTTCTCTTGTTTGTTGTATAGATGCATTCTTGACCCCAATAGATAATATTTCAAATATGTATACCGGAAATAGGAAAGATATAAATATATATGTATACTTTTTGTCCATCACGAGATAAATGTCCTGTGATGATTGTTTGTATACAATAAACTCATAATATGGCTGATTTGTGTTATCATAATTTTTAAGTCGATACTGTCAGAATTTCAATTGCCTGGAATTTAAGCTCTTTGGGGATGCCATATTCAGATTTCTAAATAGATTTGAAACTGTTTTAGATTCAAATTTAATATAACGAGACTTTCACAGCAAAATTATGAAAGGTGGTTTGCAAAGAGAATTGCGCAAAGTGTAATACGACAGTTCGGAAGCACCGAGCCACTCTTCCTCTGTGGGATATGATTTTATTTTCTGGAGATCAGTTTGGGGATCACATTAATGAACTACAAGTATATATAGACTCTTTTTCATTTAGTGGAGTTCAATACCAAGAAAAGGTTTGTCAATACCAATGTTTCCCACTTTAACGTATAATACAAATACATGTAATTTGCTACAAATAAGAATGGACAACTGAACTAGATAACTTTTAAATTAGCAAGATATGATGTAAGTTCATGGGTACGATTTTTAGTGCTTTCAGGTAACGGGTGCACTTGTCTGCAGAGGATACGACGCCGGTGACGCTCAGACAAATCCATATTATCGCATTTCGTCCATGTTAAATCAAACAAACAAATCAGTTATCTTCACTTTCACAAACAATGACATGTATACAATGTAAGTTATTGCATTATATTAGAGATAAATTGTGTCCAAATTCTAGTACTGATGATATCATTCTTCTTTTTGTCGAAAATAGTAAAGGAAAAGTATGAGTATACATATATGTATAGAGAGAGGGAGAGAGATGGGGTGTTTTCTTTGTGCACAACATAAATCAGGCATCTCATATATCGATTTGTAGGATATGTATACATAAAAATTAAAAGGCATTTCATTAGTAGCTTATTGAGAAGCGTGTATTAACATAGAGGGGATTTCCTTAGGTAAAGCTGAGTACGTATCTCTAACTAATCCATGGATTTCAATATTTATTGATAATTTAATGCTTAAAGATTTTTTTTTGACATTTACACAAATATGTTCGATGACGTAGCATCGTTTTTGAAAGTGGGGGGGGGGGGGGCAACCCGAGGAAAAAAATTTTCAACTTACTGAAAAATCTTGACAAGCAAAAAAAAAAAAAAAAAAAAAAAAAAAACAACAAAACAAACAGGAAAATTGTGCACTTCTTTTACTACCATTTTTTTTTTACTCAAACACTGCATTCCTCTTATTTTACCCTTATTTGACAATACTGCAACCAAAAGGGGGGGGGGGGCAACCGGACTTTCAATGAACATTTCCTATAGAAAAACTTATGTCTGGAAAAAAGTGGGGGGCCAGGCCCCCCTACCCCCCCCCCCCCCCGATACTACGTGCCTGATGTTTAAAACACATCGTTTTTAAAATTAGAAAATGATTTTCATTAATTTGAATTGATATATGCAATAGTAAGCTTAGAACAGCTACAGAAATAGTTCGTGTAAACTACATTTATTTTGATGGTGGTACTGATTACTTTACTCGAAGTTAATTCTGTAGATTGCCTAAAGGATTGTATATATCCAGTGTAGATGCAGTATACACCGTCACTTATTATACATATTGCATAATAATCATAATAATAATAATGATATCATCTACAATGATAGATGTAAAAAAAAAAAAAAGAGAATTAATCTTCAATGTTCCGGGGAGCTCTTTGATTATAACACTTAAATAATGTTGTCGAGCAAATCTATGAACATGGCTTTATTCCGTAAATCGACTAATTGTTCTTATTTTTAATTAGTGGCTGGGTGTGCTTCCACACATGAATATTTTACTTACTAATTCTAGCCCATGACAACTCGCTCCTTTGCATTTCATTCACAGCGTCTAAGACATCCATGGCATCTTCGTAACAATCTTTGTTCACTTTCGATTCTTTGGTTAAAGGCATTACCATTCGGGCACTACCCATTCTGGTAATATCATGCACAGTTCCCACAATGTCCATTTTACTTAGAATCAGTCCTGCTAACTGATTTTGGTGAGCCTTCAGCGTCGTTTTGTTCCATTTTGCCACCCCCGACTTGTTGTAAGCATCTGCAAAATGGCCGATTATCACGTCTGCAACTCGTCCCGCCGCGGGGTCCTTCATCTCCATTAGCAGTCCTCCAAGAAGAATCGATGCTGCCTGGGCCCCCATTTTAGAAACCAAATGGGCACCTGCATCATAGATCGATGCACCTATTTGTGGTTGGTCTACTCCTACGAAAGAACCTACCCATCTTGCTTTGTCTCCTATGCTCATATTTTGGGCAGTTACCTTGCTGTGGCAAACGGCAAAGACTGAGCATAAAACCAGAATGACTGGTATGAGTGTTTTCAGCAATTTCATGATTATTTTGCTTTTTTTCCTTCGCACTATGTCTTAATGTTTAAATGTACTCCTGTTGACTTGCAATATACCCGACGTTTTATAATCAAAATAATGGTAGACCCGTGTTAATATTGAGTTATCTCGGGACTGTGAAGTAACGGAGGAATCCTCCCGCGGTCCGTGTAAACAAAATCAGCTGACTGTCAATATTTCCGTCTTTTGTACCTGTTTACGGCCACGTGATCTAATTTTTTCCACAATTTCACCATGATATTTTATTTTAGCATGTGTCAAAGTCCACCTTGACGATCAAAGGTCCGTGTATGTGACTCACATACTCATTTTATTAAAGTAATTTGCTGTCATTTGGAAATGAATAAGAAAATTTAGCAGTGTCGAAACTTTTTCTTATGCCATGATTTACGATAAATTGCAGAATTTCTGAGAATGTTTCTTTTATTTATATCATCGTGTATAGTTCATTTTGAATAATTTCAACATTTTGGAAATGAGCAAGTTTGAAATAAAGACTGATATATTTTATATTTGCCAGTTCTGGATAGTTATATTTAGAATTAAAAGTTTTTATTGTTTTAAACAAACGTTCTTTATAATGAGACAGACTGCAAGTGGAAATGTGAAATGTTAGAGACAAATCTGGCATGAATTCTCAGGAGAAAGTGAACTTTGAATAAACCTGCTTGAACTCTTAAAGATTCGTTTGGAAGACATTCGTGTATCGATCTTTTAATAGTTTTTGAGCATGTCCAAAAGCATGTTTAAGGCAGTTTGGTGACTAATATCCAGAACCAATTGGACTTTGGAGCGTAAACGTAAATCCTAAACAACAAAATGAACTGACAACGAAAAAATCCTGAATAATACCATATACACCCAGCACACCATATAGTGTAGGTGTCCTTCTGGCTTTGAGGCATTACTAGTCACCAGGGAGGCCCGAGCTCAAGATCTAAATATTTAATATAATTTATTTTCTAAAAAAAGACTCTACGTAGATTCTTATCTAAAATATGCGGACTTTGAACAGATGGGTGATGAAATGTGTATACAAATTTTCACCTCCAAGGTCTATTTTCTGGGTTTTCACCTCCAAGGTCTAGTTTCTGGGTGGACATCTGGGTTTCAAAAATTAGTTAATGATAACAATTCGTATTATTTGCACTTCAAAGATATAACAGATAATTATGCAATTTTGTATTTTGTGCCTCAATTTATGAAAAAGTTACGGCAGATTTTTAGGAAGGGGACATCACCATCCCCACATACACTGTACCCTCATCAAAAATGTAGCTTCTCAAGAAAACCTTTAATTAATGCCTATATCCTTCGCACAAACATCACCATCTTGTTGGTTTTGAAATGTTTTCATTTCAGATATCAGGGCCATATCTCCGAGATTTCGTTAACTTTCGATCATTGGCCTGCTTAATTTGCCTAGTTTGCTATTATTAATCAATGTATAGTTTTAAAACTTTACAACTCATACACCTATCTTTATTTTAAAGAAGTATTATTTATTTCACTTCAGATGAAAATTGAGGCGCAACGTGAAATTTTTATCATCAAACCGTGTCTAATTTACAGCATAAAGCAGTTAAAAATAAATTACTGTACTTAATTTTTATGTACACATTGGATTGGGGATTTGGATAAAATTTTCACAAGGTCCGTAGTAACCCGGGAATTGGAGGAGAATAGGGGACCTCTGATGGCTTATTAAGAACGTGTTTTGCTGTTAATTCTTATTTTGTTTCTTTAATTGATTTTTTTTTCTTTTCAAGGAATTTAGTTTGGTTGTGCGCTCCCACTCCCCATCCCGAAATTAAATTTCTATTTTCGTGCCTATTCCTGAATTAACATGGACACTGAATATGTTCAATTTCAAATAGACAATTTGTACCAGGTATGTAGAAGGAATGAGTTCAGTTACATATCAAAGAAATTAATTAAATTACGATTACTATGTCAAATTATTTAATTAAATTACAATTTCCATTACTGCTTTTAATTGTAATTAATTGAATTATAATTACTTTGCAAAAGTTTTTAATTAAAGTACAAATTACATTTTTGTAAGTTTAAAAAAAAATATTAACATTTTTTTTTATTTAAGAAAAAAGCATATCTTATTTCTAAAAGATATCAATATAAATATTTCCCAACCAATACAAAAGAATTTTTGCATGGCATCTAATCATAATTTTTTCAGATGTAAGGTAATTCATATGACAATGGTTGGGGTGTAGGAGCTTTCCAGTTACACCTTGTATACTTTGTCCTATAATTTTCTTATAATTTCTTATAAATTTCTGATCCAGCATTTGAACGAACATTGAAGTGCATAAGAAATATGTACCGGCCATTCTCAATTTTGAAGTTTTAAGGATAAATGACATTTTTTCAGAAATCAGCAATAATATACAGTATCTAATAAATTTATGTTTATATAAATAGCTTGAACAATAAAATTAATTCATACATGTATTTAAATACACAGAAAAAGAGGAAAAAAATAAGTATAGAATTCTACATTTTAAGTTTTTTATTTAATGGTAAGATTACGCTAAATGTAATCAAAAATTCATTAAAATGTAATAATAATTACATGTGATTTTGCAAAGTATAAATAATTAAATTATAATTACGTACTTGTAATTGGAAAAAAAAGTTCAATTACAAATTACTTCCAATTACTTAAAATTATAATAAATTACACTCATTTACAATTACCCCATCCCTAGACTATATAGCACTTTTATCTAGAGTAATGTATCGAATTATTAAATGAACGCTTCTCGTATAAATTATTGAAAAGTTTTGTGTAATATTTTTATAAAAAAATATATTACAATGTTTAGGATGTACATGGTTATACAATATAATATTTAGTACACATATACAAGTTTGTTGTATAATCTTATAGCACCGTGACTGTGGGGGTGGGGTTGTTTTATTTGTTTGTTTGTTTGTTTTTAAGATTCTCACTGTCTGATTCATCCAAACAGTTAAAGAACGAGCCCCATGACAATTTCAATCATTTTTACATATCGGAATGTCTGGTATATTTGTCTGATGTATTTTTTCCTAATATCTATTTGATTTATCTACAAAGATTAAAGCGATTTTTTTTCTTTTAAAATTACGAATATACCGATATTTATTGTTCATGTATAAAAAAAAAAAACAAAACAAAACAAAACAAAAACCATTGGAACGGGCGATTGAACCCGTAATTCAAGTGATTAACTGTAGTAAATAGGACTATTTTTTACCTTTACTTTCTTGAAAGCTATAAGCTATTTTACTTCGATCTTAGAAAAAAAATTATAACAAAACAGATCTTATAGTACTTAAAAAGGACTAAATGATTAACATGTAATGAAATATCATTTCATATTTTTGGAAGTCGTGTGATATCAACAAATTTTAGCCACGGTACGAATTCTGATGTTTTCGAAATTTATATTATTATGCAATCAATGGATTAGAATATAAGTATCAAATACATGTATACAGATATAATTAGTTTTGTAAATCTGGTTATTTTGTTTCCAATTTTGCTCAGTGTTTTACTAATTGACTACTTAAATTTACATGTAGCTATATAATCGATACCGAATAAAAAATGCTACAAAATTATATGGGGGGAGGGGGACTCAACCCATTTAAAAAAAAAAAATCCTATGGTGCCGAATATATCATAATACGTATTTCTACAAACAGTTATGTGGTAAGGATTTTCTTTAGGAATTTTTAAAAAGTTTTAAAAAGTGCCATTTTTAACTAATTATAAGTATGTCAACACTTGCATTGTTTGTGCATTTCAGTGTAAGCTGGGAAATACCTTGATCCGCGCGAATACTTGGTGCGTAGCTGACCCCCATAGACCTCTTTATTGAACAAATGAAAAGCCTCCTTTCATTTCATTTTCGGCACCGAACTCTCGCGAGAAGGAAGAATTTCGCGGGAATTCGTCGGTTGAAATAGCATCTGACAGGGTTGTCTTTGTTATCAAAATCGATAAAATTTCTAATAAAGAAAAAATGCCACCAAAGAAAAGGAATCCAGATAGCAAGGGAAATTCCCAAGCAAAACGAAGGAAGAAGAAAAATGATGATATTGAAGAGTTTGATGATCTAGACTCCGGTGGAGAAATGGACCACAACACAAACAATGGCACGGAAACAGATGAAACTTACGATGTTGTAAGTTTCAAACATCAGTCGTTCCTTTTCTGTATAAACCTGTCACATAAATCTAACTTTAAAAGTACATTACGATATACTAGATATTAACCCAGTTATTGACAGAATGAAAGCATGCACATCGGATGACTGTTTCAGTCTTTTTCGCCACTTCTGCAGTTCATTATCAGATGCTTCATAAGGCAGAATGAATGATAGAAAAATGACTGTTAGTAAAAATTTTGGTGTCTAGCATGTTTATCTTTTTTATAAACCTTTTAATCGTGTGTATTGCAATTGACTACTGTGTAAATGATGCAAGAAAAGAATAATTTGTCTAGTGCAGTTACTTCCCTTTAGTGCTGATTTGCTATAGAATATAGGGTTTAAAATAATAATTAAAAAAAAAATAAAATGAATAAAATAAACTGAGAGTTTTGTGAAATGCTGCAAATTCAGTCTGTATTGTAAAGCAAGAATGTATTCATGTAGCAGAAGTTTGGGTACAATATTTAATGATCTGGTCACACAAATTACATTATCCCCAAGGTTCATCTTCAACGTCTAACGAAATGCCTGTGTATGCAGGCCCATACCAACTTTTTTCAAAGTGGAGGGGACAATCAAAAAAAAGAAAACATAAACTGCCCAAACTTGAAAATCATATTTCAGGAGGGGGAATTCCCACTCTCCTTACTGCAACAGAAAGTTTGGGGGGGGGCAACTTTAGCAAAAGACTATTCTACAAAAAAAAGTTACTGACATGGTACGGAAATTCCAGAGACAGTTTTTTGTCCAAATTTTTAAGGAATTTGGATTCTGCCATCAAAAGTCTTAAGAATATTTTGTCAAGTATATTTTTAGAATCTACACACATGACTTAATTAAAAATCAAAACAATAAATGGGGGGGGGGGGGGGGCAATATGCTTCTTTTGGCAATACGGTGCATTTAATATGACCTTTTTGAACCGAAATCATCTTATATAATACATAAATCACTTTTCATCAAAAGTGGGGGTCTATTCAGACTAGTCGAAATTTTTAAATCATTGTCAGACATTTGGTCTGACAAAGTGAAATGTTCTGTCGGACCAGTCAAAGTTTTGTCAGACCAGATACATGTACCTTATTTTGACGCTGTGAAAGTCATATGAATAACAGCACCAAAATGCCCTGGGTTATTTTCAACAGCCTTTAATCTTAAAAGTCTTTAAAAAAAAGACATAAATGACATGTTTTATGACTTTGCTATAACAAATTTAATTGGATATCGTCAACATGCCGCGTACGCGGCCATTTTTTCTGTGTTTGTGACCTTCAGCTGTGCATCCCGATCCCGACCTTTATTAAATTTGCATCTCGCTCGATTTTTTCAAACGGTCATCTGGACCAACGTTTTCTTAAAAGTTGTCAGTCCAGACAATTTTTTACCGGCCTTGCCGACAAGCCCGATGGATTTCGACAAGTCTGCTATTATGTAAATTGATATTACTAAAAACGTAATAATTTTAAGCTGAAATTGGGGCTATTTTTCTGGACTTTCACATTACATTTGCTACATTTGTCACAATATGATGATAAAATTCATAATAGTTATTTATATAATTTCGGGACCAACATAAACCATTTCTCAGACAAAATAACTCTGTTGCAGTCTGCATGGAAAAATTGGAATCCAAACTGAACAGTACTGTAAATACTTTGAAAGAGAAATAAAAATGATATTTTCTTCTTGAATTTTAGAAATTTTTGAAAATAGAGGTCCAGAGAAAAAAAAATCTACTCAAAGGGTCAGGATTGAACCTCCTTAAACTCTAACAATTTTTATATAAAAACAAGGCAACCAAACCTATTGGTGAACTTTTTTTCTGCAAGTGGAAGTCTTAAGGAGTTAAGGAGGAAGAAACTTGTGATATGTCACTATAACTGTTCAGTTCTCCCCAATGGAATTTTGAAGACTCTCAAACTGTCGAGTTTATCCATTAATTGTTAGTAAAATTAAGCTTAATTTTATCTGTTAAAGTACCTTTGCATTAATCAACTCTAGAGCTTGTTAAGGCAAAAGTATTTTGCACTAGTATTTGCAATAAGCAAGCAATGCAATGGCTTCAAAGACTGCATTACAATGAAAAATTCACTTCAATAGTTGCACATGCAACTTGACTTCGCATTCAATGTTCTCAAAGTTTTAAGGCTCTATACAGAAATTGATTTGTGACATCACATTTAGGCCTAAAAAATTAATAACTTGGTTCTCAGACCAGTTTTCTCAAAAAAAAAAAAAAATGCAGTAGGGAGGTTTTTTATTTCCTTTTTACCTCATGAAAAATAGATGCAGGATTTTTTAATTTTTTTTCTGAAAATTTCAAAAGTAGCAAATTTTAATCAACCGTGCTTCAACATTGAGTGTAGAAATCAAGATCACATATTTCCTGCTTCTTTTTTTCTCTTGCATTTTCTACATTCCAATGATTCGTGTAATGAAACGATGGCATCCTAACAGCCAGACATGTTAAACTTGCAAAACCTGACATTTTTAGTGATGCATCTGGTCAATTGCTTACGTATCACAACTAATCCAAGTGTTTCAGCACTATAAATAGCACTTATGATTTTATTAAACATTGTCAAATTTATCAGTCTTTGGTTTACCCACACTACATGAAATCAGAAAATCTTGCTGAAGCTTTTCTGGAAACGTCCAAGTTCCAAGGTTGAGAGAGCCGCCTTTTGAGTTCTAGCTTGGAACAACCTTCAGAAACCCCCACTATGTGCCATGAAAGTATTACAGTCATTCCCTTGTGAATTTGCACTGAAATCAATGCCAACATGACCAAACTTAATCTTGACGCCTAAACATGTTAACTCGACAACCATATTTGCGATTTTTAAATAGGTCACTGGTCCGGATCAACTTGATGTTTGTTAAACATTTTACTGATGGGAGTATCCAAAATGCGGTCAGGGATTCCGGATTTTTTTTGCACCGTACAAGCGCATGAGAGAAATTTTATTTTATTCATTTGAGGATAAAAATGGGTAATGTGCATTGTTAAATGAGATGTGGGCAGGCCTGAGAACCAAGTTATTAATTTTTTTAGGCCTATATTACTTTTTGAATTCAATTTTTTAAGGAGGTCAATTGTTGTTGTCAGGATGATTGATTCATGATAATTCAGTACAATGGGAAGTAATTTTTCTTAGCCATGCCTCAAGGTGGTGTACACTGTACAGTTACTAAAACTTTTGCTTAAAAGTGTTCAAGAGCTGCAATGTTTAAATGATGTTTGAGATTTAATTGGATTGCCCTTTTAATAGTCCGTAGAACTGTATGAGTAATCACTAGTGACCTGTGTGTGACTTTTTCTTTATTTCTCATAAAAAGCACATTTGTGAAAAGCGTATTTAAATAGCTTAATCAAGCTAAAATAGCCTAATAAAGCTTCATATAGCTAGTTCAAGCTATATACTAAAGAGCTTGTGATGGACCTTTTAAAGTGCAGATAAATACAAGTACTCATTTATTTTCAGACTCTAGAGGGATCAATGCTCACTGGGGAACTGCTGATCAGTGGTGGAACAAACTGGGACCTGATAGGAAGGAAAACTGTGCCAAAAGGAGGTAATTAAGGAATAACTGTCTTATTTTTTGGATTCATGATGTGATCAATCAAGTGGCTTGCGTGATAATTTGCATAAACGCCGAAGGCGTTTATGCATAAAATTATCACGCAAGCCAATCGATTGATCATCGTCATGAATCCAAAAAATCTGACAGTTATTCCTTATATTTACATGCTCCTGATTCTGCAAATTCCCGTGCTAATAGCCCCGCTTCTGTCTCTATTTGTCCCGCCCCGCACGTGATTTTTTTTAACCGCGCCTATCGATGAACCAGTAGATTTATGTAGAAATAAAGTATTTTTACAATTTGTAATTTTATCTCGAACAAAGACATTGGAAATGTAAATATATGTAGATTAAGTTACTTAGTCATTTATGAAGACTTTCGAATGCAGTTGAATGGACAATTTGTTAAATATTTATACATTTGTCATCTATTAAGCTAAGAATGCAGGTGGTCCCAATCTCTGGCGTCCACACAGGATATGTAATATGCTGGGAGTGAAGGTTAGATCTGCTATATCTGGGTGTACAGCTTGTCATAGTGTCATCATCACAGCTGATGGAAAAGCTATGACTTTTGGTAAGAATCAAGTTTAGGAAATTTTGGAAATAGAAGATATTAATTTACTTGATAGAAAAACTTGCAGCCAATGTTATTACCTGATAATCCTGTATCCTTTTTGAAAAAAAAGATAACAATAAAAAGCAGTTGAGGGCACTTCGAGAGTGTGGTGTGTACCTCTGCCAAGATGCCTATAAAAAAAATCTTAGGATTGAATCAGAATTTTAACTTACCTCTTCAACTGAAGGTTGAACTTGAATAGCTTAGGTATTGACCACCTGTGCATAAACATTATGCTACTTTGAATCTGTGAAATATAGCGTACATGTATTAAACATTCATATTTTGAAAACATTTACAAAGATTTGTCTCTTCTTGTGCATGTTCTAAGTGTATCCTTTTGCAGAAGATATTCAAGATGTACATAAAAACAAAATAAATACTAGCATCCATATCTTAAAGTGGATCCAACTCAAAATGTAATCATTCTTTCATTGCAACACAACACATCTTTCTCTAAAATTTCGAGTAAATTTATCTGTTTTCAATTTTTCTAGATATTTTATTGACAGACAGACAAACCCAGATAAAAAATATAACCTCCTCCCAACTTTGTTCGTGGAAGTGATTATGGCAATGACTTGGCTTTATTCTTTAAAAACAACAAATTTTTGCTACCTCGAGATTGCAAAATGCATGTATCACTATACAAGTACTGTTTAATCAAATTTGACATCTTTCCAAATCATTAATCATTTTAATGACTTGATACTTCGTCTTTACAACTGCAGGTAGAAATGACTGTGGTCAGCTTGGACAAGGTGACACAAACAGAAAGGACCTACCCACAGAAGTACCACTCCTAGAGGGACTCAATATTGTAGACGCATGTTGTGGCAAAAACCACACTTTGTTTCTAACAGGTATAATTTGAAGTCAGTTAAAGGTACTTGCAGTATACATTGTTAACAGAGAAAATAAATCCAAACATTGACAGATTATAAATTTGTTATGTTTACATTTTGTAAGCCTTTCAAATTCAAACTTAAATTCTTAAAGTGAGGCCATCTTTAGAAAATTTTCTGTTTGCCCTCTTCTGACAGACTGACTAAAAATAGCCTGTCTCAAAATTTTTATGTCCCCCTTTGAAGAAGGAAGGGCATATTGCTTTGCTGCTGTCTGTCGGTCCACCAACAGTTTCCATTCATTTTCTTCACAGAGGTTGCACATACGGAAATGAAAATTAAGATACAGATTTATCATAAGAATATCTAGGACAAGTTTTGATTTGGGTACGATCGAGCCATTTTTGACAGAGGTATGCCCCTTGGACTTAGGAAAATTCCAATTATTTGCAGTTTCCGTTCATTTTCTTCGCTGAGGTTGCACATACTGGAATGAAATTTGGCATACAGATTTATCATAAAAATATCTAGGACAAGTTCTGATTTGGGTACAGTCGAGCAATTTTTGACAGAGTTATGCCCCTTGGACTCCGAAAAAATCCAATTATTGGGGGGGGGGGGCATAAGTGTTTTAACCAACATCTCTTGTTTATTTAATCCTCCAAGAAACAATTTTTTTTTTGATTCCTTCTGGAATTTTCTCACCTAGTCAACAACTATTTAAATTTTACTAATACCTTCAATATCAATAAATTTTTAGAATTCAGCATTGATGTAATAATTTCGTTAAAATAATTTCCATTCTTACTTACCAACCAAATTTATTTTTCATCCTTAGTCAGGACTTTTTTTTAAAAGATAGCCTGGTGTAGTGAAAAAAAAAAGACATTTGTTTCAGACAAAGGTCATGTGTATGCATGTGGAGACAACAAAATGGGACAATTAGGCTTAGGGCACCAGAGCAGCACAATTCTGGTTCCAACGAAGGTAAGAATAATCGAAGTGTGTAAAGTATCCTTAGCTTTATTGTTCAGCTGAGGTAGGGGTGCCAAAAAAAAAAAATTTAATTGTTAAGGTCAAGATCTAGTAAATGACTGTAGACTGTCTTTTTGGTGCTAGATCTATTATGACGTCATAATAAATTTTAACTTTATTTTTCCTGTACTTTACGGCACTAATAGAATTATGTAGAAAATAAATTACTTTCATGGAATTCAATTTGAAATCATGTGAAAATTAATCCCGATACCTATATTCAATTTGATTTTATTTTAAAGAAGAGGCTAAGAACACACAAATTACCATTTTCTGAGAGACTGTAGGCAGTCTGGATACCTTCCATTTGTCTGATATGGAAAAAACTCCCATGGTTTTCTTAATTTTTCATTGAAAATGACAGTTTAAAATATGATTTTTCGTCTTGTTTATTTACAAATTATGCCCCGATACACCTTATTTGACCAAGCTATAGTTATAAAGCATCATTAAAAGAATTTATTTCTCAAATTTGAGAAATCTGTAGGCTCCTTTCATTTACTAGATCTTGACCTTAAATGAGTACTTGAATTTGACAAGTTTAATTCTAAAATATTTTTTGAGATACATGTAGTTTGGGTGGCACAATTTTTTTTTAATTTGGCCATACAATATGTAGATATATGTAAGTAAAAAAAAAAAGTAATAATTTGATTGAAATTTCAGATATCATACAAAGGCCCTCCAATCAGAAAAGTAGCTGCTGGAGGGGAATTTTCTATGATAGCAGACATAAGAGGGAATCTGTACTCCTTTGGGTGTCCAGAATATGGTCAATTAGGTATAGGAGTGAAACGGTTCACCGCGGTATCGATTCACCGCGGTATTTTTTCTCGGTTCGATACACGGTGCAAAATCTCTAATTTTCGGTTCGGTTCATTTTTTGGTCGGGATCGTTATTCAGTCGGGTTTGGCATAAGGTAAAACACGTTACTCAGTATAAATAAGTATAGAAAACGTAAATTTTTGATGACTGATAGCTTGTAAAATAATTTTTGACAGTCAAATAATTTTAATCAATTTCTTCTAGTCAATTTGCAAATAAAATTCGTAAAAAATGTGACTAGATTTAGAAAAAGAAAGCATAAAACAACGTTGAATTTGTTTCCTTCTATCAAAATGTATCGTATCGAAAATAACCGAACCGAAACAAAATTATACAATACGTATCAAACCGTGAAGGAGGTGTATCGTTTCACCCCTAATTAGGTAATTGTGGGCTTGAAGATCATTATCCAAGAAATATTTCACCAAATGATAACTTGAAAAGTTCACTGCAATAAAGGTATAAATCTTTGTTTGAGTGAAGGAAAAAATTTTTCTTAGAAACACTGTGCTGCATGAATGTACAATTTAGTTTAAATTAACAAATTTATTACTAGGTCACAACACAGATGGGAAGTACTTTGTTACTAGCAATAAGATGTCATTTCGATGTGAGACACGACCAAGGAAGGTCAACGTCTTCATAGAGAAGGCTAGGGATGGTCACATTGTACCAATAACAGATGTAGAAATCAGGGATCTGGTGTGTGGCATGAATCACACGGTAAGTTAGTCAGGCTTGAAAGGGGGGGGGGGGGGTTAAATATTAATACTACTTGCACTTCATTTAAATATCATTGCCTCCATTTTTGGTTTGTAAGAAGAAGATTTACAAAGAAGCAACAATACATGTACATGTGTTTAAGATGTTTTCACCTTTATAACTATATTTAATAAGTCACTATATTTAATATATCAAACTTGTGACTTTCATGTTTTAATGAATACCGCATTATATTTTGTTATTCCAAGCATATAGTAACCTCATACCATTGCAGGCAATCATAGATTCTAAGAAGAGGGTCTTTACTTGGGGGTTTGGAGGATATGGTCGGCTTGGACATGCTGAACCCAAAGATGAAATGGTTCCGCGTCATTTGAAATTCTTTGATGGTCCTAATAGAGGAGCAACCCAGATATATGCAGGCTCAACTTTCACTTTGGCTACAAATGAATTTGGTAAATTTTTTCAGTATGTTCTGAAATAGACTTAAAATTAATTATGCTACAAAAAAGAAATATATTACTGTTTACATCATACAATGTTTGCACCAAAGACTTACTCTGTATAGCAGTGGGATTAAATTTTAAGCATTCAGAAATTTGACTGAACATCCCATTAAAGTTTTGAAAATGATCTCTCCGTCTCTTATTTCGCAATCTTTTATGACATCATTGGCCTCTTTCATTGGTTTATACATGTACCATGTTGTGATGTCTGTATTATTTCATTAAAGGCACCCTGGTACATTGATCTTGATGCTAGAGAATGCCTTCGTGATTTTCAAGTCTGGTGAACAAATGCAATTTAAGACAATAATTTATAAAAGTGTATGATTTCAAAGTTAGATATTTCTCTACTTTGACATTTGATAATTACTCTGTAAGCTACTTTGTTGATGTAGAGTTTTGTTGGCAGGTGCATTATACATGTGGGGAATAAATAAGTCTGTGGGAGAGGCAGCTATGTATCCAAAACTAGTCCAGGACCTCAGTGGCTGGAGAATCAGAAGTGTGGGATGCTGGTGAGTTATTGTTTGTTTCTAGGTCACTTGAGTCACTCAGGTGACCTATTGGTATCTGTTTTCATCCGTTAACATGCACTGTGTGCCATTTGTTAACTTTTGAACATTTTCAGCTTCTTCTCTGGAACCGCTGAACCAATTTCAGGCAATTTTGGCACATATCACGTATGGGTGAAGAGGAACATGAATTATAAGTTTCCTGATGAGTGGGGTTGAAACCATCAAAATTAATATAATCTTTAAAAAATCATCTTTACTCGTGGACATCAAGCTGTCAAACTGTTGGCATGATTGTAATAAGCATTGAGTACTTTACTAAAATTGTGAAATATATGACCTCAGGGTCAGTGATTCTTGAGTTAGGAAGGGGCTCTATAGATCCATATAACGTAAAGGCATTTATTACCGGTAATTGAAAATCTTCATCTCTACTTCTGGGTATTTAGCAGGCAAACTAAGTACATGATTATAATGAGCAAAGTTTCTCTTCCAAAATTTTGAAATTCATGGCTTCTGGGTCAGGGGTCCAGAAGTTAAGGTGATGCTCTATTGATCATGTAGAGAAAATGATTTAATTCTTTGAAAATCTTCTCTGCTTCTGCGTATTTAGCAGAAAATTTGAGGTCAAAAAGTTGGGGTCACAAATTCATATATGTTATTAAATGGTTTCCAGATTCACTTTATTCAATACTGTTTATAATTAAAACATGATCACAAATGGTTCTGAGTTGCATGGTCAAGGTTACAAGACTTGTATATTGTTACAAAACTGTTTCTGGTTAAAATCTAAAATAAACATTTGTCCTTAAGCGGGGTCTTAAGTTCCCCAAATAAGCTTGTTCTTTTTACATTGCATATCTAGTTTTAAAAAAACAGATCAATTTCATAATTATGTATTTATTGTTTCAATCGTGAGAGACATGTATCTATTTTTCAGCAATAAAAGCATCCTGGTAGCAGCAGATGAGAGTTTAATATCCTGGGGGCCAAGTCCTACATATGGAGAGCTGGTAAGCTGTCAAATTTACCAAAACATAAGCTTCACTTCAGCTTAAGATCAATGATAAGATTATAGAATTTTCTCAAACTTCATACTGCAATGAACATAAGATTTCTTTGGAAGGATGATTTGATAAAGGGCATATTATTGTTTCCTGCAGTGTTATGGAGAAGACAAGGCCAAATCTTCCACCACTCCTCAGGAAGTTAAAACGCTATATGGTGGATATGTGCAGGCTGTCGGCTGTGGGTATGGACATGCACTGCTTATTCTTCGAGCAGACTCTGAGGATGACAAAGGGAAGATTGAAAAAGTGAATGTCTTTAAGCCATAACTGGCTCCCATCAAAGGAAATATACATTTGATCATGTAAATAATCTTAGTTACTGAACAAAACCATTGAATCATATTGATATTGATTGCACATTTGTTCTACCTCCTCTTGGTATAGACAAAACCTTGCAATAATAATTTAAATTTTAGATAAGTCTGTATGTGTAATGTTGTCCATAAAAGAGTTAGTGTTCCTATTTATCGTCTTTTTGATGATGTCTTTTTTCCAGTATTAAGAAAAAGTGGTGCACAAGTGAAAAGTCTTTTATATTCTTGCATAATTATTTTTATTGTTTAAAACATAATGATTAACTTTGGAAGATTTAGTACAAAGAAGACATGGGGGGGATGTTTTTGTCAGGATTGAAAGAATGACCTCTGAAAATTACACTGTCTCTTATTATTATTAATTAAATAGCAATTCAAACAAATGAAATTTTTATGATTAACTATAGAGAAATGTGATAAAAATTATTCTGAATATTTATGTGTAGATTTCTATTTTGCAAATTATTCAATAAATTTTACATTTTTTTTCTAACTACAGATCATATAACCTGCATGTACTTATAACTTAGGTACCGGTATTTGAAAGAAGGTGCTTTTAAAAAGCAGTGGCGTATCAAAAATTTTAGTAGAATATTGAGGGATATTTGTATTAAATCCTTGCTTCGTTGTGTATTGTCAGTAGATTTTTATATACACAGGCATAGGAAAGTCAATAGTCTTAATGCTTGTTCTTTTTCTCTTCATACATGTAGAATCACAATTCACTCTGTTTCTTATTAATTTATCTGCTGATTTCTTATATGAAGATTTTATTTAAAAAGTCAGGGATATATGTACAATTAAATCATTCTTGATTGTATTTGTGCTTTTTTTTTTTTAAATTTCTATTTTAAGTCTTTTTGTTGATGTTGTTAAACTGTGTTCATGGTGATTTTTTTGTAGTTTGTCAAAAACTGGAACAAGAACAATTTTAACATTCTGCCATTAAAATTGAAAGTAAAAAGAAGTTTTTTTAATCCAAAAAAAACTAACTAACCATAAAGCACTTCAAAGAACTAGTAATGGGCTGCATTTGCTATAGAATTTTAATTTCTTTTTTCCGTCCAGTAATTTCTATACAAATGTCATGCTGTGAAATGGTATGGCTTCTCTTGTCTGTCAACTTATTTTTGTCTCATTTAGATCGTGCATTTGGAGTTGTAGGGTGACATGAACTTAACGACATCCAGATTGAAATCAGATTATCACACTTTGTCAAACTGAATTTTGCCAGAAAATTGTTGGGTTGTAAGAGGCAAATCAACATGTCATAATATTTTAAAGAGTTCAGTAACATGCATACCCAATTGTATTTAAACTTGTTCTTGAATGCTGAAAAATAGTCTGATTTTAAGACAGTGGAGGGCTGACCTTGGATAAAGTTTTGACTGGATTAAAAGTTACTTGTTTGAGAAGCATAAGCTACATGCATTTGAAAATCAGTGTCTATAGTACAGTTTGTAATAGGCATATCATTTGACCAGCTCAAAATAACAACAAATTTTAAGTGTTGACGCAGGGTATTATATAATGGTAAGGCCCATTTTTTTCAGCCAGTAGTTTTTACACAACTTACGTAATGTAATAACTTTAGTAATCATTGTCCCACTCTATTCATTAACATAGCAGGAATTTATGTAGTCAATCATCCTTGTACATTTGGCAATATGTTATTGTTGTGTCTGTGTGAACAAAATTGAACTTTATCAATAAAAGACATAATCCAAAAAAAATGTGTTGTTTAATACATGTACTGGGTCTACTAGTGTAATCATGGAAAGCGTCAGTAAAGCACTGTTAAAATTTTGTCAGAAGAAAGAGACCTACAAGCAGGTTTCATTCGTATTGTTCAGGTACATGTAAATTGAGGTAGATTATGAACCTATTCAAATAGATTGAGTATAAATTGCTTGTAAATTGATTTCAAATTTATTAAAAGTAGCATGCCTTATTTCCATTTTGTGTGAAAAAAATTTTGAAAATTATTTATAACGGTCATGATTTGAACTTTTAATCTTGAATAGTTTCCTTGAAATTTTATTTTTATATAAACAATATGTATTGGTATAAGAGTTTTGATAAACTTCTAAACTGAGCTGAATATAAAATAATTACTTGTAGTAGTGAGTCAAGTTCATAGGGAAAGTCAAGGTCAGAAAATTACGACAAATTGTATAGTTCCCACCAATATGTATCAGCATACGAGTTTTGATAAAAATATCTTGAATTACTCTGAAACTGAGCTTAAAGAGGCCTGGACACAGTTGCATTGTTGTTTTGTTTACAGTGTTAAATTTTTATTCAAAAAATAACAGTTAAATGAATTGGATTTCCATGAAAATTCTTAAAGTTCAGTGACGATGATATTCTTCATAACAGCTCATCATATATCTGTGTAATCATTGGCACAAGCTCTGTTGTTAAGATTTATCAGGTACATTTAATTTGTTCACTGTGCACACATCACTAAGCATGGACTGACAATACTGGTGAGTTGGTTTTGCTTTCTTACATTCCTACTCTGGATTATGGTGGCGCAGTGGTTAGAGCGTCTGCTCTAGAGTCGCGAAGTAAGGAGTTGATCCTTACGTCGCAGGTTCGAATCCCACAGTGGGATGTGGAGACCGGTCCTTCGGATGAGACTGTATAAACCGAGGTCCCGTGTCACAGTAGGTGCTGGCACAAAAAAGATCCCTCACTGCTCAATGGCCGTAAATGCAGAGTATAGGACAAAATTTGCAGCTCTCCACCGGCAAGTGGTGGCGTCTCCATATGAGTGAAAAATTCTCAAGAGGGACGTTAAACAACATACAAACAAACAAAACTCTGGATTATACTTTTAATATTTTTCATTCAAACAACAATTTTCCCACTTTTCTTATATATTAAGGATAAAGTTTACTTCCTGAAAGTGTGTGTGTCGATCAACACATCCTCAAAATTGCAGTTTTAATAATTTCTAGATGTTAAAAGAAGTTTCTAAACATGCTTTCATATTTCTGTGTTAAATGCTCTAGCAACTTAAAAGTCATGATAATATATGAAAATTTTAGAAAATATAAACTTCAAATCTATGTCCAAGCCCCTTTAACACAAAATAATAGTGAGGTCAAGTTCACAAGGAAGGTCAAGGTCAAAAAATTATGCCATAGTTGAAAAGCTCTCACCAATATGTATCAGTGTATGAATTTTGGTGAAAATATCTTGAACATTTTTTTGAAACTGAGCTAAACAGAACAGTGTGACAGACAGCTAGGAAGAAGATGGACATGACAAATACTACATGCCCTGGCCATATTCATGGCAGGGCATAAAAATTTCTTCTCATCAGAAGCAGGTTCATGATTAGTTATATTAATATGCAAGCACCCTCAGGTATTATACATTCAAGTTTGTTCAAATTATGCCCCTCTCCTTTTGCCTGGTGTAGGTTTGAGCCACAGTTTACATATGGAATATAAATGTATACAATCATATTTCTTTAATATGTCTTCTTCTCGAGAACACCTAGATTGCCATGATTATTGATATGAATATGCAAGTTACTAAGGTGTTGCAGATTAAAATCATGGCCTCCCATGAAAAGGCTGGGATCACAAAAGGGTATAAAAGTTTTGAAATTGGCATACTGAGGTTAAAATCTTCAAAAAAAAAAAAAAAAAAAACCCAACAAAAAACAAAACAAGAGGGCTATGATTAGTGACATGTAGTAGTATGCAAACATCCTCATCAGGTATTGCAGATTTAAGCAATCCAAATCAAGACACCAGATTGAAGGGTTTGGCAGCAATGGATGTCTATAGGAAATAAATAATGCATGTACATGTATACAGGGAAGAAAATGTTATCCTTTTCTCAAGAACAACAACATCAATGTCCACGTTAGTCATAATGATACTGAAGCATCCCCATACTGTATGGATTCAATTTGGATTATTTAATAACCTATTAAGATTGGGACGGGGCCACAATATGGGATGAACATTTTTCATTGGCATTAAGAGGGGAATATTCTTTTTAAAAAATCCTCTTCTGAGGAACAGCCAGGGTGACTCAGGTCAATGTCTTCTGTACAAATATTACATAAGGCATCATCTCAAGATGGGATACCAATTTAACGGTAATTAACTGCATTTCTAATGCACCCATTGCTGTTTTGGGGATACCAATTTAACTGCATTTCTAATACACCCATTGCTGTTTTGGGGATACCAAATTAACTGCATTTCTAATACACCCATTGCTGTTTTGACTTCTATTGATTTTCTCCTCTGGCTTCTAAGCACATATGAATACAGTCTCCACAACTTCATTTAATATGAAAGAAAAAGTGAGCAAGCTCACATAACCCACGCTCCCCCAAAACTCAACAATGCAACACGTAATGAATGGCACAGTGCATTTTAAATACACAGTATAATTCAAAAAGGGGCAATACTTGCAAAAAATCATCACATCAAAACTTCTTGCATATAAGGACATTCAAATCTCTGTATGTAACAAATTTAATTGGGCTGAAGTTTCTAGAAAAATAAAGGAATAAAAATTTCTTGCTAATATACAAATCTATACATTTTGTCTGAAATACCTACAAAGTTTCAGGAAATTCAGTGCAGGAGTTATGCTGGCAAACTGTTCTTTAAATTCCTCAGTGATTTCGATTTGTTAACGAGTGTAAGTCCATGTCCAACACATGACAATTTACACATTTAAATAATTGATGGAAACAAAATTATGATGTAGTCATATGAATTTGTTTAGATGCTGTACTTATGAAATTACATGTATTTAAGGCAAAGCACCAATTTGTGTGTGTGTGTGTGTGTGTGGGGGGGGGGGGGGGGGGGGGACTATCCAAGATTTTTTGTGTGTGTGTGTGTTAATTCATTAAATATTTTGATCTCAAAATCAATAGGGGTCTTTTAAGGTCATAAAATATTTCACATAAAATTTCATTACAAAAGCTGATTCCAGTGGATTTCCTTATTACCTAGCTGGAAAGTTTCTTCAATAATAGGCAAAACTCTTAAGGCAAAAATAAAGGAATCGGAATTTCCTGGTAATATGCACATCTACACACCGTGTACTAAATATCTGCAAAGTCTGATCAAATTCTGTGCAGCGGTTTAAGAGGAGTTGCGCTGACAAACTGTTCATCTATATATTCAAGATATGGCCAAAAATCTAAGTTGAAAAGTGCCGAAATTCCCAGAAAAAATAATGGAATCGGAATTTCCTGGTAATATGCACATCTACACACTGTGTCCTAAATATCTGCAAAGTTTGACAAAATTCTGTGCAGCAGTTTAAGAGGAGTTGCACTAACAAACTGTTCCTCTCTATATTCAAAATATGGCCAAAAATCTAAGTTGAAAAGTGCCGAAATTCCCAGAAAAATAAAGGAATCGGAATTTCCTGGTAATATGCACATCTACACATTGTGTCCTAAATATCTGCAAAGTTTGACGAAATTCTGTGCAGGAGTTTATGAGGAGTAGTGCTGACAAAAAAACAGGACTGACGGGACTGACTGACGGACAGGTCAAAAACAATACACCCCCCGCAACTTGTTGCGTGGGGTATAAAAATGTTATAGCACTTATATGCAGTTGTATGAAAAGACGAATTCAAAATAGAACATACGATCCAGTACAGTTTAAACTAGGATTACAGTGTATGATTAAAAGAGGATGATTTTTAAATGCAGTGCTAAGTCTTCTTCGCTTATTGTACACTCTATGTAAGAGTAGTATAAGAATTTTGTAACATAAAAATTGTATACTGCATGCCATAAGCATGCACTTATTTTGAAAGATGAGTAGAATTCAGCTTAAATTACGTTGTGATTTATAAATATGCCTTGCTTAGTCTTCAAGTCCAGCAGTAATTTTTGGATTGTTACAAAGACTCCTCAGAGCTGTATGTAGAACAAGAAACAAATGGAAATATTTACATTTAATGCAATCTGTTGGCAAATTCTTTCACATAGAACTAAAGATCTGAGTTTCTGACTGCATATAATAGCTATAATACAGAGGAATATCCATGATGAATATTGTCATCTATAAAAAAAAAAATCTGGTATCAAATTTACTATCGCTGTGAAATGAGTTGTCACATTGTTACAAATAAAACACAATGAGTTCATTAATAGCCGCGTATCCAATGTCATTTCCAAAGCTTTGTCCCACTACTTCCACGCAATCTGCAAAGAACAAAAGACAAGAATAACAACCTGGAAATTGGCAAATATTGGAACTGTATATAAAAGTTTCACTCCCATGATATTCATTGTACTTTTTAAGAGCTTCCTAATTCAACATGATTTCAATACTCTATTTGTATCATGTATCATTCATGTTTTAACAACTCACACACATACATGTACATGTACCTGTACCTTCTACTGCTTGCAAATAACGAAAAAATTGAGGGAAAAAATGAAATTTCAAGGGCTATAACTCCTACCATAGTGCTTTTTAATGCACCACAAACAAATTATAAATTCATTTGAATACATGTGTATTTGAAAAATGTAAACAAAGAGCTTCTGTATGGGGATTAATTTCAATTTTCACGTTTTTCTCTCCTCTGACATGATCGCGGTTTGTTGAATTCGCGGAATTGGTATACAATAAAAGTTACCTCCCTTGTCTATATCTGTTTAATCCATAGCATAGCTAGAACGACATTAATCAGCATTATGTATTCACTTCACGAACAACAGGGTAGGTTTATATAAAATAGTTAGATTTACTAATTAATTGAAGACTAATTAAAACAAGTGCAGTTATTGAAATCCTTGATTATAAACGTCGAATGACTTTCCTATATGCTATTACGATGAGTGCATGATCTTCTTTCCGAAAGGATAATACATCACGGTGAAAAACCACTGGACGGTAAGAAATGTGTTCATGTAAGTCAACGAAATAATATCCATCTACATCTTCACCAAGTTCGATAGTTATCTGATTATAATCAAAATGTCGATAAAAGCATGATAATGCAGGTAACAATTACACGTGGTAACATAGTTACGCACAGGTAATCCAAACCCATGACCCACGTGTTTTGATTGATGAAACATATAGCGTTGGCTATTAAAACAGCTTTTTTACAAATACAGGTTATTATCTGCTGATCTAAATTAAAGTTAAGCGTGATAATTAAAATAATTGAATGACAAGTACGACTCGTAATAACTGAAATGACCATGTACTGCACATATACATACCTATCGTAGTCTGTTCTCAAATTTCCAAATATAGCATGGAGGTTTTTGAAAACTTATTCACCGTTTCTTGAATTCACGGACTTTCTAACACTGTGAATATAGCGAATATTAACATCGCGAGTTATTTTCCCCCTATATGGTATATAACAGTTAGACTTGTTACTATATGACCTATTAATTTGAAATATAAGTACACTAAATGTGTACACATAGCGGTACATGTACAGTACTTAAAGTAACAACTTCACAGGTACATTTGTTCCAGTGACACATATATAATTACCCTTTTGTTTTGGAGGATTTCTTGCTTGGTTTATCACATGACATGGACACTTGGCTATCTGTCACCATCTGTTCTTCTGAGTCCTGTTGTTGTGTATTCTTCAGAGTTTTCTTTATATTTATTACCTGTTTGTAAAATAATGTGGCATGAAATTTCTGGTTTACATACTTGATTTAATATTTAACAAAAGATGTTTGTGAAACACTTATGCCCCCCCCCCCCCAATAATTGGAATTTTTCTAAGACCAAGGGGCATAACTCTGTCAAAAATTGCTTGATTTTACCCAAAACAGAACTTGATCAAGATATTCTTCTGATAAATCTGTATACCAAATTTCATTCCAGTAGTGCAACCTCTGTGAAGAAAATGAACAGAAACTGTTGGTGGACTGACAGACAGACAGACCGACCGACAGACAGCAGCAAAGCAAATCAAGATATTTCAGTTCCCTTTGAAATAGTGTACTCAAAATTTTTATAAATTTCCTTGTTACCTTTAAAGTCAGCTTACCTTTCTTGATAGAAAATCATCCAACACTTTGAGCAAGATGACTTAATTTCCATGGAATGTAGAGTCATCTGCTTGATTTAGTATCATTAACAATTGGATAATTATTATCACATTCTCTCCAGATATAATCTTATGAAATCTGATTTTTCTATGGTGGATGAATTTTTTTATCTTTTACTGCCATACGACTTGTTTTGTAGTTAAATATGGGATTTAGTTCACAAGTGGGAGAGGATTTTTGGATATTTTCAAGATTGCAAAGCATGAGTGAAAATAAAAAAAAAATTCCTGTCTCATGAGTGAAATAAATTCCATATTCAACTATAAAACATTGAATTTTCTGTTTATTACATTTTCTTTGGTTTTCCTTTTGTTGCTGTCTTTTCATTGTCATAGGCTATGACATCATAGTTCAGCAGTTGTGAGATGTTATAGCTGTTAGTGATTGTGAGATAGAAAATTGTGAGATAGGTATTAACAACAGTTTGGAAAAACTTTGGCAGTTTTAGTCCATTTCAGGATGATTTTTTACTCTAGCTATATGTCTCTCTTATCTATTGTCTTTTATCTATCTTATATATCTCTCTTCATGAGGGATGGGAAAATCAAGAATTTTGCTACACATTTGATATTCTTCACATTGAAAAATATCACTTTTGACATTTTCTACTGTGAAAAAATATAACTTTTAAAAATATCACATGTATTAAATTGATAAATTACAGTATTTCACTATTGAAAATGTAATAAACATATATATTGTTTATTAAAATACTTTATTATTTGCAAAACACTTCTATTTCTTATCAAGTATACCAGTTTTTAAAACTGCAGTACAGTTGAAATAGTTTCTCTAAATACTGATTTGTACAATTCCATGGATATACATGTATGTTTAGCAATAAGAATATTGTTAATCAATTTTGTACTTCCATATTTAGAATGCTCTGATTTACAAAGTTTTTCTGACAATCACAGCATATTCAAGATTAAGGTTTGACTGTAATTTTTTAAGCTGATTTAATATAGTTCTCATTTTCTAAATTTAATAAAATAGTGTTCAGAAATTACATGTACCATAAAAAGTTCTGTCATGTTTGTTTTATGTCATTTATAACACTAGAGTCTGTTTATTTTATTCCAGGAGAGCATAAAATACAGTGAAGCCTCACCTCCTGTTCTATTTGATGTTTGATTCGTATATTATTTTCTTTATTTTGGTTGGCCTTGGAGATTTGGGATTCTATACTCTGCAACATTGCTTCACAGCCTGTGCACCTGAAAGTTTGTCCAACAATTTTCTTCACAAAGCCTTTTATAATATTTAACATAACAAATTCAACTTCTTTTAATAATTTTACTTTTACAGGAAAGTAAAAACATTCCATTTTCTGATGTAATTGGCAGTGAAATTGGCTGATATGCTGTGCCGGATTCCAGCACATTTGATTTTGTATGATGTCATTTTCTTTTACATATTGTATTTCTTTTGTATATGATGACGAAATTTAGTATGCTTGACAAGCTTATGTAAATATACATGTATTGTCAAACTTATAATCATTAAGATTGAAAACGTATAAATGAAAATTTTATTACACCAGACCACAATCTTTTTGATCACCTCTCATATGTGTATACTTTGCTAAAAACATGTACATGTATATACGTATCCCAGTACATTACCAGTCTTGCAGAACAGACACAATTTCCGGGACCGCCTCTGGTCGAATGTCTCGCCCCAGGGCATAATCCACCTCTAACTGTTGGTTTTTCTGATCTAATTTTCCATGTACTATATCAGCATAGATCACTTCAATAATTAAATCCTACAAACAAAAAGATCAAAAATATATATTTTTTAAAAAAAAAAAGCAAAATGCAAAAAAGTCTCAAAATCTATATTCACTCTTTTTTTTCAAACATCTTTATCAGATACAGAGTTCAAGTCTTGATAGTTTGTCATTTGATTGCTATATTATGAATTCCTTTCATTATTTTTATGTGAGAAAATGTGTTAGTGTTGTAAAGAGAAATATAAGGGTTTTATCATCATTTACAGTAAAACTCGGCTAACGCAAAGTTCTGAGGACCATAAATTCTGAGGATCAATAACTCTGCTATACCTGTGTTTATACATGTACTAAATTACTGTATTTATAATTTTGTAATAACAAAAGGGAAGTAAATTATATTTAACAAGAGGGAAGACTTACTTCAAGAGTTCTTAGATTCTGTATATCTAGTTCCTCAAGAAGAACTGAATAGGGAATGCACTACAAGAACAGAACATACATGTATTACAGTTGTATTTCCAAACTTTACTCTCTCAATATGTAGACATCACTGTCTATTTGTAAAATGAGTGAACATGAAACTGCTCCCCCCCCCCCCCCCAAATTTTTATTTCCATTTTTCAGAAAGTAAAATATAACCTCTTGACAATCTTTCAATGAGAATTAAGCAAAAAAGAAAAAAAAATCATAGTACCTTATTCTTTGTTGCTAATGACACGATAGTCAGATGTCTCAGTTTTGTAAGCTGTGCTGGACTAAGTGCTGGCAGGTTCAAAGCACCTGCTGTAGGATAAATGACAATTATTTAATATTAGAAAGTTCACTTAACAAAAATGATAAAAAGTTGAAGATTTCAGAATAATTTTCCAATGATTTTCCAAACACATTTGTAGTACCTTTGTAATCTTTGTAACTTCCATATGCAAATATATTGAGGAGATTATGATACTGTGAATGAGGACCTGAAGCAAGCTGAAAAATAGGTAAACAAATAAACATATAAAAATCCTGCAAAAATATTTACAATATTCTAAAGAATGTTTAGAATACAAGTTTATGCTTGTAATGATATTTTAGAATATTTGTACTGTACAGCAAATTTAAATACCAGTACATCACAGTTTTACATGTATATATAGCAAGGAAGTTTTAAAATATTAAATATTTTTTAAACATAATACCAGTCAAATTCTTATATTGATTGAGAGAAGGGGAGAGAATAACAATCAAGCACTATTTCAATGAATTAAAATAAAATTGACTAAAAAGAGAAATATACATTCTGGAGGACCTGTCTCAAGTCCAAGGCATATTAGTCTAAATAATCATGCATTTGCTTGAGATTATACATGGTAATGAATAAGGTCTTTAATAAATAAAATTTACTTTTTTATTAAGAAAAACAAATTGGATATAGATTTTTCACTTCATCCATTTTTGAAAGAGATATGATTTCAAAGAGTGTTGGACTGGTTACCACAACCAGCTGTAAACTCACACTGTGTGCTTATTTACCTCTTGAATATGTGGCATATCCAGAAGTTCTCCAAATACATAAACGCCTTGAGCATCAAGAGCTTGCTTGATTAGTTCTACAGCTCCAGCCCCTTTAGCAGTTTTGGCCAACAGAACAAACTGTTCCAGGGGATTGGGGGTAGCCTTGTCTGTCATTGTTGATATCTGTAAATACCCGCATGCAATATCGTCCAAAACTTTACTTAATCATTACATACAAAAAAAAAAAAAATCATTCAAACAAGATATGTGGATTTCATTCACAAACATGAGAAGTTATTAAATCGATTTTCAGATTTCAGCAACTTGTCAACATGTCTTTTTTTTTATATAATTTTCGGAAAAAATAAGTTTTAAAAATTATGCCTTTATTTTCTGCAATATCTAAATGTACTGAAAATTTATATAATTGATCTTATTACCCTTAACTACCTTTTAAATTGGATATCCTATTCAATAAATATCTACATGGTCAGCATCGAGAACATTACAGGAAGTTTACATGTTACCTCCCTTTTCAAACACGCTAAGTTGCAAAGCCTGCGATGATGCATAAATTTTTTCCGGAATAATGAGATGGCATGGACCCATAATATTATATATATACAGGCATTTCAGTTGGTGTGTGTGGGGGATGGGGGACTTTTTTCAGTTTTGGGGTGCACTATCAAGCGAAAATTTCTTGACAAAAGAAAAAAAGCCATCAGACGTTAATATTATTGAGGCGAGACAAGCATAAAGTAGTACTGAGCTACGTTTCGTATAGATATCGACAATCATCATTGAGAGGCGGACACGCCCCCGTGCCCCCTCCCCCTGGTTTCTATGTCCATGATATGATAAATATATACGTCCATGGTGAAGGATTATATTCATGATAATATTTTTTTTCAAATGTTACAAAAAGAAAATATCCATAAAAAAATATATTACATTGCCGCAGGAACCGGGGGGTTGGGGGTTGGGGTTGGGGGGTCGTGCTCCCCCATAATTTTGCCGATATATAGAATACTATAGAAAACACTACTATTTGTTGTGCCCCTTTAATAATAGAATCTGATGACTTTTCTTTTGAGCAGTAGTATGATTGCTGAAATGTAAGTGTGGAGATTGCGAGTTTGAGCCCCAGCATTTTCCATTTATGCCTTTTTTATTTTCTATGTTTTCTGTACTATTTTCATAATAAGATAATTTCAAAAAATTCTAATACAAACCTTTAAAACACTTCGAAAATATCTCGGGAAAAGATAGTTCTAAACGATTTCATAGAATTTTGCAATTTCATATCTATATTTAAATATTTATTTCTTACTGATTTTCGAAGCCTTTTGTCTCGAAATTAGAGTAATAAACATGTTAAATGATTGTTATATAACATAGCTGCACCTATGAAAATATAACACTCCTCCCAAATGATTTTGCAAATTAAGGTTAATTCTGAATTCATTGAAAAGGTATTGTCCTTCTGATATATTTCATTTTACCAAGTAAAATCTGTACATAGTGGTCATTTCGCAGATTTTATTTGGTAAAATGGAATGTGTCAGAAGGACAGTATATTCATAAATATAAAACGGACTACTTCATGAACATCTTTCTGAACACCCCCCCCCCCCCAGTATTAATTATTTCATATCACATGGTATGAACATTGTCAAGCAAGGAAACTATTATTTGTGTGAACTGAAAGTAAATTGTCATGAAAACAAATTAATGCAAGTTTATTAAACTTGTTTCGGAACCCTCTTCTATGTATTTACACCAAAAGCACAGGACGGTTAGACCCACAGATTTTGATACTGAATATTGAGAAATTAATTAAAATATTTCATTATGGAGAAACATGTTCAGTTCAAATAAAGTATCGATAAATTTGATTTTTGAGTCTTTTCTAATTAAACTATTTACAAAAGATTACAAAGTCTAAAATCAATCAAAACAGCCATTTAATAAAGCGATTATTGCACTTTGTATATAATGGCTTCATGAAGAATATCTGAACGACAAGATTGTGTACAAAATTATCCGTTTTCATATCTTTGTTTGATTAAAACTTGAACGAATTCAGATTTTCGAGTGTCAGTTGGCCATGGCGGAATATTGAAAAGTTAGTCACAGAATGTCATACATGTATAATGCTATACCATATATATTGATGATATTTAACGGGGGAATGTTTTTATGTATTTATATTAATTTATATATGGTAACCAAGGTTAAAAATAAACTGATGTGTATTAGATACTCCCTTCAATAACAATTATCAAATCAATGAACCTGGGGAACATTCAATACTGTTATGTTTTACTTCATACAGTGGAAAATAAATCTTAACTTATCATGAAGAATTTATTTATGATATAAACATATTACTATATGTTCACTTAAAAATTAATCAGTGCAAAACGATCATGTGGATCATCCATTTGATTCATGATATTAAGACCAACGAACGCGGTCTATGGATTTGTCCATGCATATACCCCCACCTACGAATATACATTAATTCAAAAGTGCACATTGAATATACGACAAGTAAACACTTTTATTGAAAGTCTAGTTATATTTTCCAAATCAGCTCTTGTGTACCGGTCCTTGTGTTTTGTTTGTTATCGATTCTGATGGGTAGCGCCTTAGTTACCGTCATATTAGCAGCCGGCCAGCGAAACTTCACTGCAAATAGAATCTCTACCCGAGAAGCTTCACTGCACATTATAAATTACATTTAAAGGTAAGTTTTACTGTAGAGTTTTTTTTTCTAGTTTGGCGCTTTCTATTTAAACTTTTTTAAATATTTTTTTGATATGAATTATCGTTATGGACACTAATGGCGATAAATCGCCAAGAAACGGTGTTATCAGTTTACTTGAAGCAGCATATATATGTGTTAAAATCAAGAAAAAGTATCGATAAATCGATGACGATAATGTAAAACTGAACTTTTAAACAGATATGCTAGATAATCTGACTCTCGTAAGATTGTATTCTTAATCATTATCCATACATCCAATAAAAAATCTGGAATACATAGGTTCAACATCCATCTGTTAACATATTCAAACTTTTTCTTTAATGAACGATTTTCTAAAAGATGTCTATCATTGAAATTCAAACAGTTTTAACATACCCTGCGGTGCAAACTTTGACAGAAATAACCTAGCTTTTTACGATGCACAAGGAAATATAATTGGTGAGAGTTATCTTTCTTCTTAGAGGGTCCATGAACCTTAAAATAAACTATGTTTCATTATACAATAATATACATCATACGTGACATTTAGTAGTGGTTCCAGAAATTTGATAAGGAGTTGGAGGCAACACATCCCTCTTTGACAAGCAACAAAAACATACTTGGGTGTGTCTTTTTTTTTTGGGGGGGGGGCACAATAACAAATGAATATCTTTACAAATGGGGTGGGTGGGAGTGTTTTCATCATTTATACTGGTTTTCCCTTCTATTTCAACAGTATTTACAAAGTCGTCAACGAAAAAGGATGGGGGCTATAGGGTAGACATTATTTCTATGAACATATGTTATGCTATATATGTATATAAATGCCGTACATTTATGTTTTCCAGTGGTCCGTATAGTACGATAATTAAATAGTCAGATGACAGTTGATTTACCTGCAATTTAAATGACTTTAAGAGGGCTGGGTGGTTGTGGCCATTTTCAGACTATATTGATCTCCTTTAGAAGGAGAGCTCCATATAAAGATATACAAAAATGATCAAATTTTAAAACTAAAATGTATGAAATTTTTGTTTGCCAAATGATAGTTGACAGCTTAAGATATCATATCTAAAAAATCAAGTTATATCTCATGGTTAATTTGTTGACCCCCCAGCCTCCTTAAAACATATATCGTAAAGTCATACTTTTATATTGTACATGTACGTGTACGTGTTTGTGTGTGAGAGACACCCTCCTCAACTATTTATATAATGAAATTTCTTTTTAACGCCCAAAATAAACTCTGTGAAACTGTTAACAGGACCTTATATTTCAGAGTCGTAAGACTGCGCTATAAAGATGTAATATATTCGCTCATGTCCAGCAATAAATTATACTTTTTCACCCTCTTACAACTATGGGATCGATATTTTTAGGGAGGGATTTACAACCCCTTATAAAGTGTACCAAATAATATTGTACACATGAGCATTTATTTCGTGCACTAAGACGGTGGTTACTTAAAGAGTAACCAATGTGACCAATGTCTTCAGGATTGTAAAAAATAATTATCGATCACTACAGGAATCATTGAATTTTTTATTAATACATTTTCTCATATTTTTTTTTTTAAAAAAACCCCATAGGAATCATTTGACAAGGGCACTATGAACTGCTGGGTTGCATGTCGATTAAAACAATTTTCAAATAAAGATTACAGGAGATATTTCTTTTCCGAATTACTCAAAATTATTTGCACTTATCAGTTTGTTTTATGCAAACGAAAAAGAAATATTAAAAAAACATATAAATTGATTTTTTTAAAAATTATTAACTGTCTTTGTTGGGACTTCCCATGCAAAGTTTGTTGTTAGTTACCTTGTACATGTTTATCAGGAGAAATCAACGATTTACATCAAAATGACACTAAAAGATTATTCTTACAGGGTATAATACAATTGTTTAAATCACTAAAAAGGCATTCTCTTTAATGTGATTTTTTTTAAAAAATTTCTAGCAGGTGACAAAGCAATTAAATATATGTAAATGCCCACTGAAAGCGAAGTATTCTCAATGTTATGCACTGAATGCAGAGTATTGTGAAAACATAATAGGGACAATATAGCGAATTCGAAACTAAGCAGGGAGTATTGAGTGCGGTTACATGTGATTGAAAGCTAGACAAATAAATCAAAATGTTGACGTAAGCGAACATTATAATATTCTCTTTATAGTGCAATTAAAATAAATAAAATTCAATAACTGTGAATTTTAAACCCTGAGACTACCCGAACAAAAATAGATGTAAATGTCCCTTTTTTTTTGGGGGGGGGGGTCTTGTTGTTTAGGATTTTCTTTTTACTTTGTTAGGATTTTGTTTTGTTCTGTTTTCTTTCTTTTTAAATTTATTCATTGGAGAGGGAAGGGGGGGGGGTTGCTTGCTCATTTCCAATTTCTTTTTTTTCTTTCCTACTTTCCTTCTCATTTTTATTCATTTTGTTGTTGTTTTTATTTTTGTTTGTATGTTTGTTAGTTTGGTTGTTTGTTCATTTTCTTTTTTTCCCAAAATGAACGTCATTTTGAGTGTTTGACCTAAACAATCTAAAAATTGAAAAGTAAGAGTAAATTACTTGTACACAATGAAAATACATGTATTTCAATTTCTACACTTCACTATGGTAACTTGTCTTCAATATTTAACTTTACGTATTTTTTTCTGTATTGAGATATATATAAATATATACTTCATGTCTACCTCAGATGGGGAACGCATGCTGCAGCGGTAAAGGGAATGGGGGAGTCATGAAAGAAGTGAACAAATTCTGTAAGTGTGGAGGACCCCGCCCACATTCCGGACATAGTCGAAAAGGCTCCGGACATAGCCGAAAAGGCTCCGGAAAACACCGAGGAAAGGGGCATGGCCGTAAGCGCAGAGGATCAGGATCTTCCAAAGGATCGCATTGACCCCAGAAGACCTAGATCTATGTTGTGTAAATATCACCATGGTTGATTGTTAACCGCACTGACTTTAACAAATACTGATATACTCCTAACATTTCTTGAGATTTTATGTTATGAAATAAGTCGAAGATGCTTCTCTAGATATTTTTTTTTAACTTTGACGATTAAAAACCCCCCATAAAAGCTTGCAACCCAAGTGCCAGTATGTGATAAGTGACATTATTCCTCTGACATTCTTCTATGATTCTATATATATATATAGCATTGGAATGTTTGTACTTGTGTACCTATGTGATCATTAATGATTACACGTACACGTACGTCCAGTATTATAAACACAATTTAGTGCCATGAAAAAGCATTTTCTAAAGTGTAGTTATTTTTATATGAATTAAATATTTTGATTGATTACCTTTGGTGTTTGAATTGATTAAACAACTGCATGTTTTCAGGTATACATTGGTAACTTCATTATCAATGACATCCTATGTTAAATCGCTGTGAACGTGCGTCACGACTGATTGCATATTCCTAATGTCCTTTGTTTGCTTTTCATTTTTTCAAATTATCATTCAATAGAAAGTCAGCCCAAGGTTTGAACGAAATTGATTCACATCGAAAGAGTTTGATTATACTGAGCTGACGTGTAGAGGAGATGATGCAAATGTAAAACTCTATGCCTTTATTTTATTTGTTAGAATCGAGTTTTATCGATACAAAAGTGATATACCGGTAATGAAATTATTGGGGTTTTGGAATTTCTAGTCTGGTTATGCACTGCTTGATATCATCCACTTTTTAACAAGATGAGTATTGTGATGAAACTCAAACTTGTTTTCCATTAGGAAAAGATACAGGAAATCCCCGCCCGTCACTGAAATAATACCAGAATCGAACTGCATGTAGATTTTGATATTTATATTATTTAAAAACAAAATCAAAATTTGATAGTCATGTATATTTTTCTAATTAGCCAATTATGTTTTTAAGCACTATCTAATCTAGCTTTATATGCTGCAGATTTAAAGTTCTCTAACAAAAAAAAAAAGGGGGGGGGGATGACGACCAGCTGCAGAATTAGCTAACTGTTCGGGAAAAAATCTGAAAGGACAGTAAGAGAGCTACAGATAAAGTTGTACATGTTAAACTTTTATGTTTTTATTTGCTTTCTTCGCGAATCTTGCGCTATAAGACAGCGACATGAGGTACTGAAATTTCAAAAATCGTTCACAGTAAGTTCGTGGAGGAAATGAAAGCTATTTAAAACAGCTAACAAGTAACTATACCAATGCAGGAATCTGTATCTTTTGTGCAGTTATGAGTTCTGATAACATGCTTGTCATGCGTTCTATCATCAGAAACATCAATGATTCTACAGTTTAAGAGGACTCTTCAAATCCCATGGTTCAGATAGGACATCGAATCGCCCGCCTCGGCGATGATTAGTCGAGCTTTCAGCAACCGTTTTCCGTTTCAGTTTCTTGTTTGTAAAACATATGCCAGCGTTAAGAGCTACATAAAAACATCTGTTGAACAAGAAATCCGTGCATTTGTTTAGAAGATAAAATAAAGAAAAAGGCTAATTATTGCTGATAGATTTGGAGAGAAAACTTAAAAATCACACCGGACGAATTGAAAGCAGGAAACCGAACAGGACAGTGGCGAAATGCTATATTACTTTGCCTTTTATCGGGGCTTACGCTGTGGGTTTTACGGATTATTTCGGATGAATGCAGATGCAATTTTGACTTGCGCGCACGAAAACAGCACAGAAGGGCATTTCGTTCATTTAATTCCAACGTCAAGATGAAAAAATAATCTATGCGGAAAACTAAATATACGATTACGAAGAAAAAGAACTAGGCTCTGGTGTTTTCCTTTGCAAAATGACTGGATGCTTGGGAGGTCGGATGAATTTTGATGGACCACGAAAACTTACAAATAAATAGCCAGAAGTGAATACAATCCGCGAAGAAAAACAAATAAAGGGTTCTGTCAGATTCAACAAAAGATTTGCATGTTATGAGCAGATACTGTAAATATTTTTTCTTCTCTGCAAACATTTCTTTGAAGAAGCTTGTTTTAATGATAGTAATTTGTCGTCACATTATGTAACAGAGATAAAAAAACCCAACGAACTAAAGTTGCAGTGTTTAAAATAAACTCTGAAATTTAAAATGTTACATGTATTTGATTATCTAGTGAGAGTTTGTGCATTGTTATATTTGATATCACATTTTTTCCTGCTCTTGTGAAAAGTGGCTTTTAATACCTTTCTTAAATCATTTAAAATTTTCAGAGAGCTATAAAATGTGTTGCAGATTTTAAACCAAAAAAAAAAATTCTCTTTTGTACCCAGAGCCCTTTTAAAAAATCAAATATTTGTAATGACTTCAATATTGATATATAGGCAGGACTTTCTAAGCTAAATAAATACACATATACCGATATGTTAGCCGAGAGAACCTCGCCTCCTGAATTTCTTTTCAATAGTGACCTGAATTTGTATTTTTTATTAAAAGAGAAATTATGTTAACTGCACTCTGTGAAGAAATAGATCTTAGTGTTTATTAGAAGTATATAAGTGAGCACTTTTACATAATTTGTTAACCCTGGGTATCAAATGCTATTAAGTTTGATTATTTTGGACACGTCTTTAATTTTAATACCATTACCTCACCCCCCTCCCCCAAAAAATCCCAATACTGTCCAAAGTTATTGAGCTTACATGTTGCAGTTCCGTTTTATCTTTAAAGGATAACATTCTACCATTCATGTTGAACATCATTTGCTTTTTGGGTACACTAACTTTCTTTTGTGTAATTGTCCTCAGAAACGGAGTATACAGTTATATGATCAAATAAGATATTGAAACAATATTATACTCTACACAAATTTGTTCATGTATACTAAGTACTTTGTTATCAAGAAATGATAGAGTCTGGGTAATTAAGTATAAATGATATGTAAAATATTTACCAATATAAATGTTTTATAACTGCACTTGTAAAGAAATATTCATTTATTTTTAGTTTTCTTATATATATATATATATATATATATATATATATATATATATATATATATATATATATATATATATATATATATATATATATATATATATATATATATATAAAGATATTTTTACAATATAAATCATAAATAAAATAAATTACAAAAAAATTAACGAACAAACTGGAAATGTAAAATAATTGGAAAAAGAAATAAAAAAAAAAAAAAAAAGAACAAAACAAAACAAAACAAAAAACAACCCAAACCAATTATAAAAAAACGGCTCGATATCGCCAAAGTATACATGTCGTTATCTTTTTATTATTCGAAATAAATCTTCTTATTACATGTTTTGATATTTTTGATTTTTTTTTCACCTATATATGTAAATTCAAAATGGTGGAGTAGGTAACAATAATTAATTTAAAATAATGATTATATTTTTTAAAAATGAGTAAAAGCAAAAAAATATTCTTAATTGCATCTTTTAAATAAATCCATTTTTAAATATGTTTAACAATACTGGGATTTGATTATACTGTAATCTACATTTTCTCTCTTCATAAGATTTTCAAATAGATGATTTCTGTTCCATTACTTAAGGCTTTATGGCATTTAGATTCAGTTAAACAATAAAAACACCATTAGGATTATTTGTTGTTGTTACAAAATTAACTTTTTATATGACATTCGCTGGAAAAATAAGCATCCCGATACAATGACGAGTGAAAGCCTGCGCGCCAGTTGCATTTTGGCCACAAAAAAGTTTGGAAAAATTTCTTTGAGGTGAGCCAATATTTGTCAAAATGTTTACTCTGCTTGGATGCGTGTGTCAAAACTTCTCCGCTGACTGTTCATTTGCAAGAGGGCATGAGGATAAAAGTAGATTAACGTTGTTCCAGAGTAATTAAGGGATCTGGTGGTGGCGCTAGGCGAGAGGGGGGTTGTTTATTCTTATCGTTGGTGATCACTTAAATATTGGTGCGGGAACCAGCTAGGGTTTCAAAATATAATAATGGATTTCGAAGATTAGCTCTTTCTCTGACTGAATCGAAACTGATGTCTGTCTGCATGATATATCTTCTTGTGTTTGTCACTTATTCATATTTTCGATGGTTTTGCGGTCTTGAACATGAATATGTAGAATGTAATAATGGATTTCGAAGATTATCTCTTTCTCTGATTAAATAGGAACTGATGTATGTCTGGTATATCGTCTTGTGTATGTCACTTATTGATATTTTCGATGGTTTTGAGGTTTTGAACACGAATACATAGATGTTGATTTATGAACGAAATAATTAACTACATTTTGAGACGATAATTGATAATTAGTAAATACAGCCTTCAGAAAACAGCATGGGAAATACATATATGAATTAATTCAATTAAATGTGTTTTATTATAGGATTTTAAAATAAAAGAAAAAAATATAAAAGGTATTATAAAAACTTATAGAATAAAAATGAATAAGCATAATTTCATTTTGAATATGATAGATTTTTTTTATCTATATATACGAGGACCGTTCAAAAATTAAGCGGACTCTGCTATCATTTACTCTTACAGATGTCAATTAGAAATGAATTTTCACAGATCATATTTCTTAAAGATTACATTAAAGTTTTGTTAAAATTCTTTGATTTTAATTATTTTCTCCTAAACTACTGCTGTTTTGATATTGCTGAATGATGGTGATATACGCTGCACGGCAAAAATTTTGAAATGAAATATGGAGATAACGAACAGTAATCAAGCTCCAAAATCCACTGCAACAATACAAATCGGGAGCAGAGCAAACAAGGACCTCTAATAAACATCAAAGGTTGGATCAGGTGCCATGGAGGAGTAAGCATCCCCTGTCGACCGGTCACACCCGCAGTGTGCTCATTGACATGATCGGACAAACGGAAAAATCCGTAGACAATTCAGTGTTTAAATAATGGTCTAGCAGTTGTATGAAAAACGACAGTCAACATTCGACTTAATGATAGGTTGTATTTGCTGACAAGGCCATTGTATCGACCATAGAACTTACGAAATGATGACTTTAAACAAGACTGTTGATATCCTTGTTTCTTCTTGTTTGTCAATAGCTTGCCTCATTTAAGAAATTGTTCGTACCTGGAGCATGCTATTGTGTATCGAATCAACTGGGAGATATAAACCCTATATGCAGGTGATAAGGGCAGGGTTTTCCCTAAGACCCGGGGATTTTCCCGCCTATAATGACATAATTCCCCAATTATTCTGGTATTCTCCCTCAACCCCCTGTTAGGGGAGGAACCCCGGACTCTCTTGGAACTACTTCTTTAATGTCCCCTGCTATTTTAATTCATTGGGACAACCCTGTAAGGGTATACTGCTACATAAGTAAGGGAGGTTGACGATAGAAAAGTTGAAGTCATCACGTTTATCATAAAGTTTTGTTGTTAGGTTACCATTAAAGTCTTTTTCTAGTAAAATATCCAAGTATGAAACAGATGTATCAGACTCTATGGTATCTTTTATTTCAAGATCACTTGGATATATCGAGTTGACATATGAATGGAAGTAATTAATGTTAATTGATAATACGTCGTCGATTTATCTAAATGTCCAGTTGGGGCCACAGCAACTTTCTTCTTTTCATGTATAAATTTTCGAAAAAAAAAAAAATCTGCTTCATGTGAATACAAAAATAGGTCTGCTAATAATGGAGCGTAATTGGTACCCATGGTAATTCCGACAGATTGTTTAAAGACCTGATCTCCAAAAACTACATAGATATTGTCAATCAAAAATTCAAGCATCTTTTTAATATCTACTTCATAGTACTTGTTTGTACAATCAGAATGTTTTTAACAAAATAATTTTGAAGATGACCAATGAAGGTAAGTAAATTTACGAGTTCCATTTTTATTGAAAAACAAACGTTTGAGTCCAAAATTTTACTTATCTTTTTTCTAAAGTTCGCTATATTATTCGACGATTTTCTCTAAAATTTCTTCTTATTGTTCTAATATTATTTTTCGTATCAGATTTCTGAAGTAATATTTGAAGTAGTAACAGAAATATTGTGATTTTTTTGAAATAGTAACAGAAATAGTGTGATTTTTTTTTTGAAATAGTAACAGAAATATTGTGATTATTCTCCGTTGTGATTCCTATGAAATCAACCGCAAAAATGACGTCTCGTGATTTGACGGAGCAGAGCATCTGTAACGCTCGAGAAAACGCCAACACAGACCCAAAATTTTGATGGCCATGTAAGTAAAGATTATTTTATATTAATTATGTATGAGTTTTTGCTTGATTTTGTCGACAAATTTTTTTTTTCTGTGCAACAAGTCCGCGTAATTTTTGAACGTCCCTTAACTTTGCCACATATATATGTATGTAACAATTCAAAAATAAGGCAAAGAGAATTTTCGTATCTCTCTAGATTCTAGGCACTTGTTTTAAACATTTTTTTTAATAAATAAAAAATATATAAAGATATTGCTTAAATTGATCAGTGACTGTGATCAAGATGTATATCGTTAGCAGGTATCAGTATATGGATTTGAAAAATGAAAGAGGTTATTTTTGCATAAATATGCAAGCTTTAAAACCAGGTTCATAAAATAATCATTGTTAATTGTAGGTTTAAAATTATTGCTTTTTTTTTTTTACAGTAATTTAAACAAATGAATGTTTTAAGAATAAACCAATGATATTCATTAGTAGTAATTCAGTGCAAACAATGAATAAATGTTGAATTAAATGAAATGTGGGAATATTTCTGAGACAATAGAACAATCCAGGAAAAAGCTTGATAAAGAGCCAGATTGCAGGAATTTAGACTTGACATTGAAGCCCTGGTCCTGTTAAAGTCAAAGAATTAATTTTTTTGAGTTAGCATATGAATATTGTGTAGAGTTTTGAGAAATATGAGATTTACAATGATCTAGGAGAATTCTTCTTTATGATTCAGGCCCATGGGAACTTCATGGGATGCATTTTTTTTTATCTCTCTCTCCCTTTAATTTTCTCTTCATGCTTGTGTCAAGAATATCTGTTCGGTTCCCCCCCCCCCTTTCCAAGAAAAAACAGTTGTAAAATTTGACAAACGTGTGGGCTTGTTTTGTTCTCTTTTAGTTATTTATTTTTTATACTTGAAAAACCTACGCACCCGTAAAACAAAGAATTAAACTACTATGGCCTCACGGACAATATCTATTGAACAAATTAAAAGAATTCAAATTATAAAACAAATAGAAATAGTTTAAATAAATTTCTTCCCAGGTCAAGAGGAAATTGATAAAAATATTAAAGCAAGCCTCCGTTGTAAAAGCTTCAGTTCTTAAAAATCTCCCTGTTGAATTGTCACGTTTTTCAAACTTTCAGTCTTTTTCGTCATTAAATTGCCGTAACGAGAAATCGATACTGGCTTGCAACTATTGTCCCCCCCCCCCCCCCCAAAAAAAAAATGACTGCAATGCAAAGATAAATTTGAAACTTTTGGAATTAGATACCATCGCCAGTAATTTATCTCTCAACAATTATTACATTCAGTGATGACATAATCCGGCCTAGACATATAGTCTATGTAACCGACAAATCGCAAATATTCGATCGTTGACACATGTTCCCTTGTTTGATATAAATTTGCTACCAAAATATTTGCATGATAGTCCCGACAAGATCTAAATGTTCTGATATTCTTGAAGAAATTTTATTGATCAATAAAGCGTCAGGATTACTGAAAAGTATACCTTTTATTGTTTGTAGATATAAATTTTAACTATTTTATTCGGAAGGTGAAATGTCCGGAATACCAATGCTCCACTGTAATCTTATCTATCACATAGAATTAATATTGGATGTGAATTCTTAAACTTTTAACTAAAAAAGTGAAATTAAAAGCAATTGGAAGTATTTTAATTTGACATTTTTTTTGGATTTTTTTTTTTAAGTTTCCATCTCATTAATAAAATAACATAGTGTCAAAAATTCTTTCCGGCATAAATTACTCAATCCTGTTCTTGAAAATAGAAAAAAAAGTCTCTTCCATAAAGAAAATGAATTTAAAAAATCTAGATCTCAAACAAGATACAAAAACTTTTGTTTGAGTGAAATTTGAGAGAAAAAGAAAGTTCTTATGTGTGTGTTTGAATCAGCTGGTTAGAATTAAGCATATGTCTCTGTAATCACGCATTTCCTTCCCAGCATGATGGGACTTCAGATTTGTTTGTTTCCACCGTGGCTGTTAAATTATGAAAACAAAACACAATTCTGATTTCAGTGGTCTCAGATTCAAGTGGAATTTTTGTCCAAGTTAAAGAGAGTTGTAACATAACAGCGTATACGTAGATACATAGTCATTTCACATGTTTATTTCAATAGGGGTATTTCTATGCAAATAAATAATTCAACTGAATATATAGATGAACATAATAAATTATGAATGGCACAATGATATATGTACATGTTTTTTTTTCTGCTATCAGTGTTCAGAATGATACTATCATCAACCTTTTTTTTTTTTTTTTTTTTACAGAGATCTGCATATTGGTGGTCCTCCTCATGTTATCTTTCATTTATCTGAAAAAATAAGAAAATAGAAAAGGTAAATTAAAATTTTGAAAGATATTGTACAATAAATTTGATATATTTATTTATCACTAGACCTTCTATTAAAGGAATTTTTATCACGTCTCAATTATATATATATATATATATATATATATATATATATATATATATATATATATATATATATATATATATATATATATATATATATATATATATATATATATATATATATATATATATATATATATAACAAAGTTTACATGCTGTTAAAATCACCCATTTAAATTTCTTTGCTAGAAAATAAATATTTTCGATGTTTCAGCGATTCAAAATTTATAAATTTCTCATTTGAAACTGCAACGAGGTAATATATGAAAGTCTATGTAAATACATGACCTCTTGCAGGAAAAATTCACTCCATTATTTACAGTTGTATGTATACGTACTCCAAATATTGTAAACATTGCTTTAAAAAAATCTTATAAAACCTCGTTTTAGTTTAAAATATATAAAGTGGGGTTTAATAGTAATTAGAATTCTGTTATATTGTGATGGATGTCCCATTTGGACCACTTTCCATTCATAAAAGAAAAAGCTGAACGAAAAACAGCATTTTGAATACTGAAATCTACGTTAAGTACATGTAATTATTTGAAATGAAATCAGGGAAAAAAGTGAGTACTTGTACATGTAATTTTGAAAGATTTAAGCGATTTTTTTCTGCAACAATTCAACATCATTCAATGAAATCAAAATCAATAAGCTTAATGCAGTTTTTTTAAAATGTATTTTCAGTATTTGTTCAAAGCTTTGTTGAAATCACATCCTGTAAGATAATAGCTTTTTTGAAATAATTTCAAAGATATATCTATGTTAAGAAGAGATTTATGATAATTTTATAGCCCCCCCCCCCCCAGCATAAATTCTAATAAAATTGTATTTAGGAATTTACATATATCTAGCATGGCACTGTTATTAATCTCTTGTCCGTTTGATTTTATATTTTTCAATCTTATATGCTAACCATTAAACTTAATGAACAACCTAAAATAATCTTAAGAAACCCCGTATTAATATATATATATATATTATTTGAATAAATTCAAAATCTAATTAAAAAAAATTACTTTTTTATTTATTCATTTAAATTTATTTATTCTAATTTCTTTCTTTCTTACTTAATTGATCAATTAATTAATTTATTTATTTTACGTCCGTCAGTGAACGTGGAATGTAACCCTCTGTTAAAGTATATTTGTGTGTTTGTCTAAACTAAACACCAAATACTTCCAAAGGATTTCAAAGAACTTTCGGGAAAAGGTAAGCCTTGAGTCCAGAATAAAGTCTGGAAAGTAACCGATACATAATTTTCTTTAATTTGATTTGATGTTAGCAACGTTCGACATCTTCTCTGAAATTATTTTATCTGTGTGTTTCCTTAATCATTTAATGTCAAATACCTTGTATACCCTAACAGTTTATACCAAAGCAATATTCTACACAACACACGCCAGTACTAGAACACTGAATAGGTTTATTTTCATTGTCCATGTCTCAAGCAAAAGAAACATACGACAAAAATTTACCGAATGTAACTCACAACCGTGTAGGTTTCATATTTATAGAGATTATCCACAAAAACAGATGCAAAATAAACAGTTGGCCAATATGGATAAACAAAACCCTGCACGCGCTTACCCGCGCCTCTCTTGATTGACGACGAGGGATCTCCCGGGACCGCGAAAGGAATCTCTTAGCTTATTGTTATATCGGTGGGTGAAGATCACGTACGATCATGTACGATCAGATAGGTCACTAATTACTAAACACACGGCAAACTAGCTCTTCTACATGAAACAGGAGACTATATGGTAATTTTAAAGTATCTAATTCCTTTTTTAATGCATTATACAGTTACTGAGATTGAATTAGATCATATTGTGGGAGGGACGGATAAAAACAATATTACAAGATATATGGGAGAAATACTTAATTGTAAAGAAATTTTCTTAAAAACGAAATGATAGTATGCCTCCATCAGAATCTTTTTCAATTACATTCTAAAAATGATTATACAATAAAACATATATATCAATTTCAAAGATTCTGTAAAATCTTGAAATATTTTTTAAAGAATATTGTTGTCACATAAATGTGGATCCAAATAACTATATATCATTCTTGTTTATTTCATACATGTAAGGCACGCCGGGCAATATATTCACATACTTTTTTTTCCAAATCCCGATTGTAATAAATAAATTTGACGTTAGTTTGAAGTTTTGGTAATAGAGGACATCTCTTGTTATTTTATGTTATTTTAAACCTAACTAAAAGAATGTATAGACTATAGTGTTACCACACCGAAATCCTGAAAAAAAATAATGATAATAATAAAAAAAATAATAATAATTTTAAAAAAGAGAGAAAAAAGAAAAGATATATATCCCAGAGAGTATAACGATAATAATAAACTAAATAAATGTAAAATTTTAATCTAAAAATCTAAATACAGATATTGCATGCTGAAAAAAATCGTGACGGATTTTTGAACAAATTTACTAGTGTTTAAGGTCAAGATCTAGTGAATGAAAGGTGCCCACAGATTTCTCAAATTTGAGATACAACTTCTTTTAATGATCCTTTACGAATATAGCTTGGTAAAATAAGGTGTATCCGGACATAATTTGGGGTAAACTCATCGGAAAAACATATTATAAACTGCCCATTTTCAATGAAAAATGATGAAAGTCTGGTATAAATATTGGAGTTTTTTCCATCTCAGACAAAGGAAATGTATCAATATTGCCTACAGTCTCTCAGAAAACGGTTTTTCATATCTTCTTGATCTGTACTTTAAAATGATATTAAACGAAATAAGAGTTTCGGAGTTATATTTGACATGGTTTCAAATTAAATTCCACGAAAGTGCTTTATTTTCTACATAATTCTATTGAAGCCGTAAAGTACGGGAAAAATTAAGTTTAAATCAATTATGACGTCATAATGAATCTAGCACCAAGAAGAAAGTCTAAACTCATTTACTAGATCTTGACCTTAAGGTTATATTTTTTTGAAAAATATTCTACGGATAAACTCTGGAATAATTCTTCAGAATTTTAATGAATTGTATAAAAAAGTAATTTTTATTGTCCGAATATAATAAAAGTAGTAAAAGTATTTTTTTTCTTGCTTTCTGATTTTTATTTTGCATAAACCTCTGAAATATTAAACGTATTTTTTTTTCTCTTTTTCACAAAACAGAAATTAAAGGACAAACACTGTTCGTCATTTTCACCATTTTCATTCGAACATAACTATAAGCATTTAATATATGAATTTACGTCTGTATACTAGTACATAACACGGAGCTGCTGAAAAATATTGTAATATATATTTAGCGTTGGCACATTGTCGCCCTTCCATTTATTTATTAAATACATTAAAAACTATATGTTGATTATGAAAATAACTACTTTTGGACAGTGTGTCCAATTTTGAAATTAATAAACATAAATTCAGTACCTGTCGCTCCAATACGTGTAATGCATATGATTCAGTGTGTCGCTCTGCTGTCTGTAGGCAAAGGGAAATCCTGTCCCTGGGGTGGGGACTGCTGGGTAGTCATTCAGCTGTGTGTATGTGGGGGCATGTGGTGGGGATATCTGCATGGCCTGCTGCATGGCATTGTAGCTACACTGTGTGATGGAGGCGCCCGGGGGAGGTACCCGTCCCTGCGTACAAGAACTGTAATTGTTGATTTGATTCATGGCACTCGCCATTCCTTGTGAAGAATTATGAGCCAAAGCTTGAGCCCAGCTCGGGTATTGGGAATACTGCGAGTAAGGCGGGGGCGAGAAATAGGGTTTGGTTAGAGAAAATTGATTGTATGGTCCACAGTGAGTTTCTGGGGCAAAAAAGGGCTTTGGAAGTGATAGAGCGGCACGGTACGGGCGCCTCATTCTGCGACGTCGGCGATAATTTCCCTTCTCAAACATGTCTTCAAAAGCTGGATCCAGTGTCCAGAAATTTCCCTTTCTCTCCCCACCACCCTCTCGAGGAACTTTCACAAAACATTCATTTAAGCTCAAGTTGTGACGAATACTGTTCTGCCAGCCTTTTTTGTTTTTCTCGTAATATGGAAATTTGCTGATGATAAATTGGTAAATTCCACTAAGTGTAAGGCGTTTCTCGGTCGATTCTTTTATGGCCATGGCAATCAAAGCCACATACGAAAAAGGGGGCTTTTGATCAGGGTCGGTGAATTTGTTTTCATCTTCAGTTTTTATTTTTCCATTAGAAGGCTTCGAGTTTTCCTCAAGCTTCTCCGATTTGATTTTCTTAGTCTCCACGAAAACTTTCTCTTCAGTTTCTTCATTTTTACTTTCTTTGTTGTTCGAAGTGTTCTCAAGTCTTGCTGCAATTCCAAATGAAACCTTTGATCCAAATTTACAATTCGATGAAAATTCGCTTGGCAAAAAGGAATGTTTTAATATTTTGTTTTCAAAAGAATTTTCACTAAATCCCGTATCCAGAAATTTTGGCGGTGGTCGCATCAACCGCATTTTAAAGTCATATAAGCCATCATCAGATGCTGAATTTGTGAAATTTTCATTTCTAGTTTCCGACATTTTGAGAATCATAAATACCTTTTGACTAATGAAGCATATGTTTTGTTATAAGATAATATAATGCAAATTTCGACATCTTCCTGTCCATCTTTGATCACGTGATAAGAGGAGGGCGCTGTTAGGGCGGGGTTCGAGTTGTCAGTATCTCATTTGGATAAGAGCACATGCGTCTCAAGTGACAGAAGAGCGCTCAGTGTTGGAGTACTGACCCTGCAGTGGAATTGGCATGCAGGTGTCATGGTAATTGAATTATAGTAGTTTTGGGAGATCTGTGTAAAAACTTTAATATCAGTTGGCGTTCATTGATTCAATTATTTCGAACAGAAATCTTTTTATCACATATATACGCATCAATATCATAAGTTGTGCCGAAAATGGAGAGGTCGTGCATTGCTATTTATCTTTTATTTAATTTTTTTACGTATGTATCACTCTTCTATTTAGGTAATTTCGGTAATGGGGGATTAAAAATATATGGAAAAAAATAAGAAAGCATCATATGCAAATATATCACGTTTGCTTCTTTCATAAAAAAAAACGAAAAAAATATATGCACCAAAATATTTACATTCATAAAAATTAATAAATAGCTAAATATATCAATCACAATAAAATACAATTTATTTTCAATACTGTACCGTTCGGTTTTCGCTGCTACTACAATGTAACAGTAAATCCGATGGAAAGCCTCACCAGTGGGTAAAACAGTGAACATGCAGTATAAACGTTTATGATTTTTAACAAATACACATGCACAATGTTGGTTTAATCCATACATAGAGAACATACAAAGTATTTTTATTTTATGAAAAGTGAAAGTAATTTTGATTTAGACTCAACTGAGACTGGTGTGCATGTGTGCGTTTTTGTGTGTGTAAGCGTTTTCAAGTTAAGTCAATAAATTTACATCAAGTTATATTTTACATGAAATGTGTTGATCGGGAGGACCTTAGGTACAGTGTCATATGAATTCATATACCTATGAATTTGCAAATGAATAATTGACTTGGAAGTGGTAATTCTATTTTGCATAGATTAATTCACAGGAGTCTCCATACCTCCTTTCAATTTCTGTCCATAGTTTGAGCATAAACAAACGAAATATGCGAGTTATTTTTTTTTAGATTTAATTTCGTACTAGTGTTTAGTTTTTTAATGAATATATCAATATAATTGATTTGTACACGGACTCCGTTGATTAATTCTAAAGAGCAAAGCTTGAGTGGCATAAGTCCCTCCCCTTTCCCCAAAGGAACACATATGTACAGAACTGATTTTTGACATTCAGAATTCAGCAATACATGTATCTTATGTAATACATCATTATATTCCATTCTCGGTCTCGTCCAGGAGAGGAAAAATAAGTATAGTTGTATTCACTTGCTTAGAAAAAAAATCAGGGAATTATTTATATACATCGTTACGTTTCTTTTGCGTATCAGTATGTATCTGGAAATTGTTTAACCATGCTTTTATGTATAAACCTTTTCAAAGAATTATGGGAATGCATTACAATACATTGACGGGGATTTTCTTATCACGTTATAATTAGGACATTTATAAAAGCATATCTCGCAATATTTTCTCTAGGAATACCTGTAAGTATATGTATACATGTATATTTTTTATAATAAAAATGAAATTCTATCGTTATACTTGTCATTATAATAATGAACATTCTATCGTTATACTTGTCATTATAATATGAACATTCTATCGTTATACTTGTCATTATAATATGACCTAATTTTACTACAAGTATATCCAAACGATATATTATAAAATGAAACTAAAGTACAACACACATGACCAAAGAGGTTTTTGCTTAGTACGTCTGTCAATATTAAAATTGTTCTAATCGCGTGATAGGAATAGAAAAATAGATAAACATGGATTTTTGGCACTATCGTAATAGAAATTTAGGTCATTCTAGTGTCATGCAGTTTGAAATAAAGTTATACACCTATACTACTTATGACAAAGGAAAATAATTTTAAAGGGTCCAATAAGCCTATGGGTTACCTGTTTGCTGAATAATTCCGATGTAAAAGAATAGGATTTCCCCCATATGAAGCCTTCCCCCAGAAATCTGTACTCTAGGTAGGGTTTCCTCCTTGGGGAAATCTCATAATAGAGCCACATTTCCCCCTCTTTTCTTCCAAAATAGAATCCCCCTATCATAAACATGTACATGTAACATACGGAGCCATAAAATGAATCCTAAAATATATTTCAGATCATGGAGTCTCAAACCTAAAATTTGGTCGCCCGCGTGGCGCAGTAGTTAGAGCGTCTGCTCTAGATAGAGTCGCGAAGTAAGGAGTTGATCCTTACGTCGCAGGTTCGAATCCCACTGTGGGAAGTGGAGACCGGTCCTTCGGATGAGACCGTATAAACCGAGGTCCCGTGTCGCAAGAGGTGCCGGCACGAAAAAGATCCCTCACTGCTCAATGGCCGCAAGTGCCGAGTGTAGAACAAAATTTGCAGCTCTCCACCGGCAAGTGGTGGCGTCTCCATATGAGTGAAAAATTCTCGAGAGGGACGTTAAACAACATACAATCAATCTCATATTTATTCAGTTGTCAGACTCGGTGTCACAACACTTCTGCGGCACAGTGGTACTTTTTTCATTGTTTGCCCCCTACCGCCCTAGTGCTTCAAATATGGGTCGACATCAAGAAAAAAAATCTTTTTATAAAAGTGTGTGAGAAAACTATAAACTTTGCATTATTGATCGGTTCCAGATACCCTCTTGTGAAGTCGGGTAGCTCTTCAAGTCGGGAAGAGCAAACAAAAAACATTAGCACACGCAGACAAACGAAGAGTTTCGCTTAGCAGTTAGGACAAAAATGTGCTCTTGGATAATAATATGGATGGATCTAGAGAAAATCACGCTCTGTTATATTACCTATAACAAAGTAGGATCCCCCCCCCCGAAATTGAATCAGGCGTGAGATTTCCTATTCCCTTGGGAAAAATCATATTCCTGTGTCTTTTTTTCTCTGGGGGAAATCCTACTCTAAAGCCTATATTTCAGGGGTGTTGGGAGTTCTTCTCTAAAGCCAGTTTAGAGGATATTGGGAGGATATTTCACGAAAAGTGGAAATCTTACTTTAATTTACAAGACCAGTATTTACCGACATATCTACTTCTACCAATATCCACAGCTATCATAAAAATGCAATTGTCTTGCAAAGCAACATCCTTAATTCCCCACCAAAGTAAATGTACATTATGCTTGGTGATAGGACACACAGGAAGAAGTTGAAATGTCATGTTACAAGGATACAGGTACAGAACACTTCCACAATCTACATATAATTTTTTACTTAAAAACGGCTTTCCTTTTTATTGAATTTAAATTCTTGCAATGTACAAATATAAAATCCTAATTCTCATTTATACATGCACATGCCTCCAATAGTGATTTAATTATTGCAGGTTTGAAGCAAAAAATTATGTAAATTCCAGACATGGTCAAGTTAATGAATTAAAAAAACAAACAAACTTTCCTATAAGGATTCTTCTTTTAAGGAAGCTCTAAACACTACTGATAGAAGAACTTCTAATACCATGACAGTTTTATGCAGTTAGAGTGATCTGCCCTTAGTTGTAATAGAAAAAAAAATAAACAGGAATCTACAGTGAAAAACACATTCATAATAAATGAAAGAAAAATCATTAGTGTTTAAAGTTTCCTTAAAAGTAGATTCAAATAGCCAAGACCATCAGATTTTTAAACCTAAATATTTTACTTGCTTATTATTTTTTAAACTCTTCGTTTTGTACCCTCTGACCTACATGTACATCAATGTTAGTGTGAAGCAAGACCTTAATTTGGCAAGAAGAAAGGAAGTTTGACATAAAAAGCAAGCATTTTTACACATTAAATATACAGAATTCAATATTATTTTATTCTATTCATGTTTTACTTTTGCTAGTAGTAAAAAAAAACAACAACTTATGTACAATATTTCAAAGCCTAATATAGGTAACATATAAAAAAGATCTTTAGTACATTGTACTAATCTAGATAAGTCCTCTTTGCTGACAGTTTATTTTCTACTACACTACTGTCTATACTTTGACTCCTTTGTCTGAAATTCTGTAAAGGTGTCAGTTCCACAGCATACTCTATATCCTGTAGAAAAAAAAAATTAGATCAATACCTGATTTACTCTTATTTCAATTAAAACATAACTCTTTAAGAAACAAAATGATTCTTCAATGATACAATCTGGAGAAAACCTTTAAAAATATGAATTCATATTAGGGCAGAGTAAGTACATGTAGAAAAGCTGGAAATAATCTGATTTTCTTACAAAACAGAACAGATGCCTTTACAACAGTTACCTTTGCTGGTTGCCAGAGAGTCTCTAGTATCCACAATAGGAACATGTTGAGAACTGCAGCTATAACAAACAGCTTTCCTGACAATGGACCACATTTGTAGAAGCTTCAATAGAAAAAGAAATATTCTAATAAAAACAATTTATTTAAGAAATAAGGTATCATTTTTAAACATCTGTTGGGATATAAATATGGGTTGGCGGCGTGATCAAATTCCATAAAGCCCGAAGTTTTGACTGTTCAATAGATGTCTTCTTCTTACCATTCTTTATGTTGTAAATATGAAGACAGTACATTAACAATTAACCAATTATCACATAAATCTTGACCTTTGATAAAGTAATTTCCAAAATTTATGTTTTTTCCTTATTGCATTCTCCTCCTTTTAAGTCAATACGAAGTCTGTACAGTGCAAAATGTCAAAGTTTAATATTGCATCACAATGTTAAGACTTGATCTTTGACAAAGTTACCACAATTTTATATGCTTTTTCCTCTAAAAATTCTCCACCTCTGTAGAATATATACAGTCTTTAGGCTTAAAAGTATAGGAGCAGTTGCATCAAATAAATAGGTAATGATCAAAACAAAAATTTTGACTTGACCTTTAGCTAATGACCCCAAAATATAAAGGTGTCCTCCACAGGGACCGAATTCACAGGAAATGTTTTTCGACCCCTAGTATTAAAGATACTACAGCTTCATGCGTCCTCCGGGGCACGGAGAGGATAAGTAAGTAATTAAGTAAAGATACTATGGGTAAAAAAATTTTGAGCAAGTTTGTTGCCTGTAATTACTTCAATGGGTTTCAAAATTTTAAGAGACAAAGAATGATACTGTAGATGTACTTTTTCTATGTGGGATTAATTTAAACTATCTATGTGGTCACAAACTTTCCGCAGAAATTTGTCACAGCATACATAAAGTGCATTCAAGTCATACAATGGCAATTCAAGAAATCCGCGTAATTTTCTATCCACAGATCAAACATGAATTGTGATTTTGTGGAATTATGACCCTGTGGCAAAAAGAATGTTTACAGGGGATGTTGATGTAACTAAATGTTCCCAGATCTGGACCTACTTTTAAACTCAGAAAACCTGTCCGAATTGATATAAGAATTTCAGTATATTAACACCTAATAAGTCTGTCTCCTGAATCGTAAGGAACTTCCTCCACGACCTGCTTGTACACAACCTCTGTCCGCTTGGCAACGTTCCTCCAGGTGTATATCTTTTTAATCCTCTCATGAGCATCAAATGGTGGGACAAACTTTCCCTTTCTTCTGTCCTCAATTGCTTTGTGCAATGTCTGCACAAAATCTTAAAAAAAAAATAAATCAGAATTAAACTGCACAACTTATACTATTGCTACTACAACTAGAAGTATGTCCATATTGCCGACTCGGCGTTAAACAATAATAATCAATCAATCAATCCATAGGACATGAATGCCCCAACCAAAGTACATTTGTACTGCAAAATGAGAAATGTACCTTACTTCTTTGGTCTGAGCTTATAGTAAAATGTACTGAAGAAAGAGCAATTTTCATTTTCTTTTTATGTACAGAACTTATACCTTTATGGTTCAGTTATTGTCTTTTGTAGCGTGGTATGTCAACTAGTGCTAATTCATCCTATCTATCTAACACCTAACAAAGTAATCGACTTATATATGATCTTTTAAGCAGGTATGGTTGAAATGCTCTCAGAAAATTATGACACAGTTGAAATTGCTCTCAGCAATTTGTATCAGACTAACAAGTTTGTTGAAATCAATTGAACGTTTTAATCAAAGAAACTGCAAAATTATAGAATCAGATGTCTAGGTCATAGGAAGCGGTGGATGAAATTATAGAGAATATAATACATGTACTACATCTTGTTAATGCTCATGCTAATCACACACCTTTGACACTCGGCTCTGCAAAATATATAAGATCAGGGGGCAGAACTTCTGGTGCACCGCCAACCCTAGTACTGACTACTGACAACCTAGACAATGAGACACATAAATAGCAGAGTTATACATATCTGAGAAACTCTATAATCACATGGAATTAATAAAGATTATTTAAGGAAGCTCTAAACACTAATCAAAAATGCTTTTTGGACTTTGAGAAAAATATATCATATAAAGGTGCACATATTCAGTGTTTCTAGTTCATTTTCAACATAGGATACCTGCCCCATTTCTGCAGGAAAAATGTTCAAAGACAATGAACTATCTGTGAACAGAAATCGTTGTTGTTTACTTACATCGGAAAAATTAATGGAAACAATGTATTTAATTACTTAATCTTAGTCTAACATAACATTAAGAATACTTTAATTCATAACAATTTGTGTCATTAACTGTAGATTCCCATTTATTCTATTTTTCTTCTAAGGGCAGATCACTCTAACTCAATAAAACTACCCTACAAATAGTACTCTTCAGTGTGCAGTGTTTAGAGCTTCCTTAAAAAGTTAATTTGAAGAATCCCCAGCTTAAGGATAGAAAAATATTTAAGATATTATTCCGAAACAATTTGACAATTAAGCAATAAACAAGTTTTTGACCTTTGTCTTTGACCCTTTCACCTCAAAATCAATATAGATATCAGTGGATGTGTAAACTTGTCAACAAAAATTTCCACTCTGAAAATTCCGTGTATATATTTGAGACTCAGGTATTTTGAAAATAAAATGGAAATTACAATTTCTGATTATGTAAAACCAGGAACACCTGGTCTACATTATTATACATACAAATTTTATCTTCCTCAGTGTTCACAGTCCAATATTACATAACAAATTGACAGATCATCCAAAACTAAGCAGTTCATATGCTGTCAAATTCTGACAGATTTTAAATGTCAAAAATACATTGTGCTGCAATTAGTGAGCAATATTTGATTATTTTGACTGGTAATCAATTGTTAGTCTGATTTTGTTTGACATACTGACCCACAACAGGCAGCTTCCACTATGGCGATGCAGAACGCCTCCGTGAGGGATGTGTTGATTAATATGTCTCCCTGTACAAGCACCTGAACAGTAAAAAAATCTGGTAAAACCACCTATGCCATACCTACCATGTATGTACATATCCAACTGTTTTGGTTAAGCAATTCTTAGCCATATCAATGCAAAATGAGCTGAATGTCAAATCATTTAAACATCAGGAAATGTCATACAGAAGTGCTAGGTTACAGAACTCTTTTGAAAAGGAAAAGTTTGTGTAAAAGACCAATGGAAAAATGCAGCTGCTTAATGCAGAATAGGATGGGTGTACAGACAGCAGGACAAAAACTGGAAAAAAAACAACACTGTGCTATAGAAAAAAGAGGCCCATGGGCCACATTGCTCACTTGAGCACTTTGGTTGGCTGTGAAAAAAACAGAAATTTAAATCTACGTTATCTGAGGATGCTTCTATACTAATAGGCTTTGCTGTTGTTGAGAAGAATATTTTCCCTCTATATTTCTATTACTTTCATTATCTATTGTGGCCCAGCCCTACCCCTGGGTGTCATGATTTGAATAAACTTAAATCTACACTACCCGATGATGCTTCTGTATTAATATGACTAATTATGGCATTGCTGTTCTTGAGATTTTTAATGATATTTCCTATATATTCCCATGTTTAACTTTGATCCCTATGTTGTGGCCCCTCCCTACTCCAAGGAGTAAGAATTTGAACAAACTTGAATGTATACCACCTGAGGATAATTCCATGTCAATATGTTTAATCATGGCTTTGCAGTTCTTGAGAAGATTTTAAAAGATATTTCCTATATATTCCCATATATAACTTAGTTCCCCTGTTGTGGCCCCTTCCTACCCCCAGGGGTCATGATTTGAACAAACTTTAATCTACACTACTTGAGGATGCTTCCAGGATGCTTCCATCAATCATGGTTTTGTCATTCTTGAGAAGAAAATTTTTCAAGATTTTTACCATGTATTCCTATGTAAACTTTGATCCCCCATTGCCCCCCCCCCCCCCCCCCCCCGACCATGATTTGAAGAAGCTTGAATTTACACTATCTAAGGATGTTTCCATGAAAGTTTTTTTTTCGTTTTTGGTCCAGTGGTTCTTGAGAAGATTTTTAAAGGATGACATTAATTTTTCACTAATTCATAATTATCTCCCCTTGGAAGAAGGTGTGGCCCTTTATTTGAACAAATTTGAATCTTCTTAACCCAAGGATACTATGTGGCAAGTTTGGTTGAAATTAGCCCAGTGGTTCTAGAGAAGAATTCAAAAATGTGAAAAATTTACAGACACAAAATGTGCTCAGAAAAGCTCGCTTGATCCTTCAGGCTCAGGTAAGCTAAAAATCAAATTTTACATGTAAATCTTAAAGGAGGAGAGACCCTCTGCTAGTGAGAGATAACTCTATATACTTCATCTTCAATAAGGATTGACCTCAAAGTTCGTCTTGTATGATATGCTATCAATTGGCTTGAATTTCAAATTTTTTCTCAAACTATTTTAAAAATTGTCATAACAACAGAAAAATAATCTATTAAAATAAACCATAGGTTCTTCTCCCTGAAATAGTTGCATTCATTTCAAGAAATTGAATACTTGTATCCCACACATCTATTTAAATTTTCATATTATTTAACATTATTATATAATATTCAAATTATTTAATTTTATTGTCCTAAATCACAATTATCAAACCATCAAAATATTTATTGGTTCTTGCATTTAAAATTTTAAGTAAGCAAAATTTTGAACATGGAATCCGTGAAAAAGGTTTTCAAAAACATGGCATTTTTTCCTTTATTGGTTTTAAAAGCAATAAAAATCAACTCTTAGGCTTCAAAAAAGATATTACCATTACATTTCTCCCACACCCTATTTAATCACTATAATTTTATTGAGCAATAACATTCCTGTGCTACAGGTATGTTCCTTCCACTGAGATTCGCTATTCATTGACATATTCACAAGTATGCCAGATAAGAATGCCCAAAACTTTTCACAACAATCTGCAATTTTCATAACACATGATTCATGATGGACTTGTTATTTGACTTTCTATTATGACATTTTTGACAGTATTGTGGAACAAACTGACTAAACTTCTATTTAAGTGAACCATATGCTACATAATTATTTGTAAAATTTATACCTTCAAATATTTTAAATACACATCATAAAGATGTCCATCATCATTCAAATACCTACATGCCTTTCATTCTTTAATAATCAGTTACTTCATTATTTATTTTATATGATTCTTTTACACTGTGAGTCAGACTTACTTGGATACATGAAAATAAAATAATCACAAACACAAAATGT